TTTTTCATTCCAGGCTATTTGCATCCATGTTACTAATGCTATTGTTCAGGAAAGATATCTTTTTTGATGCACATTCAAATTCTTATGACAAAAGTTGACGGCCCACAGAAAAGAGCACCCGCATTTGTCTTATGTCCCAAGTAATCAACAACTTTTTACTGTTTTTCACTTCAGGCTACTGTCACCCACCTATAATACTGATTTAATATTTTGCTTATGCTGCTGTTCAGAAAAGATATCTCTGTTTTTAGTTGTTAATGTTATTAAACTTTTACAACTTTTTCGTTTGCAAATCTGTAACAGTCAAAGTTTTTTTTGGATCCACCTCTGTGCTGAGCTGCTGAGTTTCTTTTTCAATTTCATGTAGTATGTTGCAAAATCGTTGAAGACGTTTATTGAGCATGAAATTATTTGAGAGCACTTTTGAATCTATGATTCAGTTTCTAAAGAATAAAAAATTAATAAAAAAAGTTAATTACTTTCATCACTAAAAATCGAATTAATGACCAAAAAAATTGATTTAATCACAAATTAATCACTAATTATTCTTTATCTCGTGCACCATTTTCAAGAACAATTTGCCCCTCGTCATTACTCGTGGTATTCTTTGATTTATCCCTACGAAAGACTTATTGTCTGAAAACTGCGTTGCACTTGGTTATTCCAAGCTATCGTCACACATTCTGTGCTATCGTTTTCTTTAGAATGATCCTTCACCTTCGCACCTATTTTTCCTGACATGATGATTTCTCATGTCTATCGCTGATGAAGTAATGTTACATTACTATCTAAGATTCTTCGAAATGAGGAAATAGAAAATAAAGAAACTTGATGGCCCTGAGAAGCTTAGGAAAGATGCACATTCTATCCATCAAAGTGTTAGCGGAAGGCGGTCAAAAATTTGGTCAGTAAGGTTGGTAGAAGGACGGTCGAAAAGCCCTTTCTTATTGACGTACAAGAACGGTTCGAAACTGACAGTAAATGTTTGTCTGTTTAGAAGATCGCTGACTGGAGTGCTGAAGCATGCGGCACATCATAAAACGGCATTCTCAAGCCATGCATCTGAATTGCTACATCTTTCAATGTAAAAGCTCTTTTGTGTCAGAAAAAGAGGAACAAAAGTGGTGGAAAAGTCAATCGTGTGTGTAGGCTACAAAACTATCATGCGAAAAGTCCAATACCGAAAAAGTTACACATTTTGCCGAATTAAAAGACTGTAACTTTTTTCAAAGTAAAGAAAGGCAGGCTCTACTGAGTGTTAGAAAGCTACGCAAAAAATGCTTTGAAGTAAAATATTTTTTTGCAAACTGAACCTATCGAGGGAGGCAGGCCTTTTGATTAAAAGAAATGTAAAGTCTTTTTCGAAACCTTTTTAAAATCATGACCTGTGACGATGCTTAATGCACATCCATGTTGTTGTAAAACTTTGCATTCAATTTACGAGAATATAACAGATATTGAAAAACTAATTGACTAATCTTCAATTGACTAAAATATAACTAAGATATTCATATGCTGTTATATGTTATTTCGTTGCGTAGAGTGAGTACTTAGGCTCTAGAACATGACTCAAATTTAGTTATATATAGGAGCCCCAAAAAGCTACTTTCAATAAGGGCCCCATATTGCTCCGTTACGCCACTTTACATCTCCTAGTCTTCTTAAAAAAGAAATTGTTTGAAATCACCAAGCACTGAGAACTAGGTCTTTCTGAAATTTGCTTGTTTCTTCATCAAATGCATAGAGAGATGGCTTAGCCTGGGGAAGACAGCTCTTGCGAAGAAAACTGCCTAGCTTGGCAGAGGGTTAAATCAAAAGGATGGGAGCAGACAAGCAAATGCAAATGAGCCAACACCCGTTCTTTGATAGAAAAACATGTCAGCAAAAAATCATTACTCTACACCTCCAGAGAAAACTTTCTTCTTCGTCCCTGAATACCATGAACCAATTTGCATTTCTCTTGGACTGTACCGACGGTTTCCCCAGTCTTTCAAAGGATCCCGAAAAGCTGAAGTTAGGCGTCGTGAAGTTTTGTTGCTAGGAGGTCTAGTAAAACACGCATGAGATTGCAATCAACATTGCTTTGACGATTGCTTGCAAAGTTAGATTTCATTGACGCATAGGAAATAATTATTATTACAATATCCCTCTGTGCTTCTTTCTTACTACACTCAATACCTGTCACCTGCCATTGACAAATGCAGTTACAGCTCAATTAATCGGCGATTTATGTCTGAAAATTAACGCAATTTGTCTGACTTTAATGTGGTCACTTATAGGTAATTTAGAATGCATATCTGAACAAATAGAAATTGGAAATTATTTCAATCGGAGGGGCTTTGAAAACATATTGTGTTCAATTAGTATCAGATCATGAAAAATTTACATTATAAGAATCAGAAAATTTCTGCTGAGGCTTGATGTTTTTTAATTGATTGATTCGAGGATCGAGGTTTTAACTGCTGTTTTTGATTCAAAATTGATTTTACTTCCTCCGCATACCATAATTGTTTGCAAAACCACCAGAATAAAAGTTTTGCTTGAAATTTTTAGTAGCACAGTTGACTACGTAATAAGATCTGCTTAGTTTCTTTAAAACACGAGATTACACTTTCAAAAACACATTGCTTCATCTGAAGGAAGTCAAGTTCTCGAAATCGAGCTTCGATGTTCTAATGAAGTGCGTTCTTTTAAAACAGTGTACAATCACTGTTGTTCAGTAGTGTTTATTAATTTTTGGAAGCCTACCTAGTATACGCATCCAAGCATCTACTTACGAAATGATTCAATCATATAGCAATAAGCGTGACAAAGTGTCAAAAAACGCCTACATCTTCCTACCCACCAGCGTGCGTAATGCCCCTGGGCTCAAAAACGCATGTGAGATATACGTCAAAGGTACGCAGTGAGATATACGCAGAGGTACTGTGGCAGATTCGGTGAAATTGCTGAAATTGCCGTCATATATTTTTTGTAAGTCGATAAAGCTTGTAGCTACATGCCCGTCCTTTGTCAGGCAGAAAAGAGAATATGACCCTCACATCCACGGTTCGATCATCTTTTTCGTCGAGGCTCTGATATCAGTGTACCAAAAATGCTGAGTCATGATGAAATCAGCAAATAGCCCTTTCCCACTGAGACAAAGACGACATAGTAACTGCAAAAAAATGTGAGCTAGTTAGTTAGCACGAGCATGCCTGACATTTCTTTAGACAGACGACTTTAGTGAGAGACTGGAAAAGCAATTTTAGGCTTGGCTAGCCCAAGGAAGACCGTATGAATTTCATAAACCAGGGGAAGTATGGTTTTAAAAACATAATTTTGATTTCACGGGAAGAAAATTAGCAAGCGAATTGCTGGCTAATTGAAATTTTCAGCACAGTTTTTGTAGCTCTCTTTCTCTCATACAATTAAACCAAACTTCTGTTTTTCTACTTAGTCTTGATCCATGCTGTCTTCTGTCTTGCATCCCAAGCTAGTCTAGCTAGTTCAGCAGCATATTCTCAAACAAACGGCAGCCGTTTCGTCAATCCTGTTCGATTTATCCATTCAACATGCCGCCTTGCAGCCTAATGTAGCTAGTTCAGCATAAGAGCATATTCACAAACAAACAGCAGCCGTTTTCATTAAGCAGACTTTTTGCTTACACGATATCGATATGTTTGCACGGAACCTGCACCTGATGATACATGTATAAGAGTTTTGGCGTCATGCACACACGCACATGGAATTATAAAATGTCTTTTATCGTTAACGAACTATCAAATTTGTCCATAGGCGCCTTTTGCGTGGGGTTTTGTGGGCTTGAGCCTCCTTGAGAACTTTTAGAGCGGGCTCAACCAGGCATGGAACAATTGACCTGCAAATTACGCCAGAATATCAATTATTTTTAAATCAAAAGGATGCTCCAACTTCCTATCGAAAGGACCTTGCTGAAACAGTTATGTCAAAAGCGAGAGATTTTTAATACCTTGTCCAAGATATTAACAAGCCCAATTTTGAAATTTGTGTCGCCTCTCGGAAAATTAAACGTTAGCGCCTATGAGTTCACCCAAAATTCATTCTCATTAAAACCTGCCATTTGAGCAATCTAAAAAAAGAACAAGAGCAGCTATGCAACATTCCTAGAACTTTTCACCTGCCATTTTTCTTTCTTTAAATGATTTGAACGTCTAAAAGATACAAACTACAGAAGAAGCCTGGTCTTCCTAAACTATCAAACTGTTTTCTTTATTTTCCAGAGCATGAAATGTCTCTTAGCATAAAATAAAAAGAGCATGAATTTTTTACCAATATGTAGAACTGAATACATCTAAAATAACGTACAGCGGCAACGCATAAACATGTACAAACCAACGCAGTCATGGGAGAGAGGGTTAGGAGGCAACATGTGCATAATTTCAAATTCAGTATGATCTGCAAACAATATGGTTTTGGGACCCTCTAGAATATCCAGACCCTGTAAACCCAGGCCCCCCGTCACCTCTCGATACACCCTGGTTCAGTATCAAAATACCAACTGAGAAGTAAGGCACTATGCCCAGAGTCCTAGGTGAGAATTAGGGAAAATTGAGGCCAAATATATCGATTTTGATTAGGTCGCAAAAGTAAACGAAAGAAGGTGAAGTATGCTCATTTCAGTTTTTGTTATAAGAAAACATAACATTTTTAAAAATATATTCAGAGAACATTTAGAGAAAACCTATGGCATAATGTGGTAGAAATGAAGGTCTTCCAATAGTATGAAATTGAGTGTCATTTCAAGCAATCATGTTTCCATTTATTTTCTACTGGTGGATATTAATTTTGCATTCTCATGCCCTCTTTATGTTTATTTTCCCGTAAAAACGCATGTGATTTATTTTGAGTGCAAATATTGGAGCCTTCACTGTATGTGATAACCGATCTTTTGTTTACAGAACAATATTACTATTGTTCTTTCCGGTCTGCGAAACAAAGCCTGTCTCCAACAGACGTCAGGTCTCGTCTGTGATTGGTCAATATCACGTGACTTGCAATGAAGTCGATCAAGCCTTCCACTGGGTTGATCATGCAGTGAGAGACTGTGTTCGCGAGAAGGTACAGTTCTCCTAAAATATTCTACTAGTGAAGACTCCAAAAAGTAAAAGGGAAAATGAAGGAATATGTTACAGATTAGTCCTCTAGTCATGACAAGTCTTGAGCACGGAAACGGCCCTACGAAACTTCGGGTTACGGGTAAGTAGATATTAGGCCATGAGCATTTATTGATGTCGTGTTTTGTCCGTTGATTCAAACCGGGTATGCTTAATCGTTATAACAATTTGGCCATCGCCAGTGTTCATTCAAAGGCAATGCTTTATTCACCCGCGACAATGTTTATTTTTGTCTTCTGCTAGCTACGGTTGCAGTTCCAGCTATTTACATGTTACATACTTGTGTATCTTGATGGGTGATCCTCGGTTATTCTCAGGGAGGGGAAAGTTATATCATGCAAGCTTTTAAGTTTAGTTGCCTTTGGATCAACTGCTTACAAATCAAATAATTTACTGCATTGGGAAGTGTACATTTATGGCTCTAGAAAGAATGCACGGTTTTTGTTTTGTCGTTGAAAACCTTCGGATCTGACGGAGCAGTTTTGACACTTCGGTTGTGTCTTGCTCACGTCGCTGTCGTTTGTCGAAGTTCTCTCTCTTTGTCATCGATTTAAGTGAATTACTGTGAAAGTTTACACCCTCGTTAGTACATCATAGCCAACTCAAAGAGACAACCGAAACAGAAATTTTCATAAATTCATTAGAATAAGCAGCATGGTGGGAACTCTGTTGTAAACAATCCTATGTTTATTGGCCGAAAGCAGTTTCATGCGGCGACAGGCCATCAAAAAACTACTTGACCCTGGTAATCAATTCTTTGTCTCGCTGTTTTACTTCCATTTTTGGAATTTCCAAACATTCTAACGTTTACCGCAGGTTTATTAACAACAGTATCATTCCTAAACAAACTTTTAGTGTTGAGCCATTCACTCCTTTCATTTTGGAGTTTTATTTATGTCAATTCAAAATACAATTCTATACAAAAATTAACCTGCAATTGTGCCACTTTGTTTGATGTTTGCTTATGATTGTCCTTATTATGTCTTTTCCGTCTGTGCATGTCGAGTGAATGACTGGTGAAAAAAATGTAAGGCTCGTTCCTGCATAGCTTTTCGGGTTGAATTTGCGAATTTAGAGAGAGGAAAACCTCGCATGGTTCTGGTAACTTCCGATCGCCCTGTTTCGGAATCTCAACCAAATGGAATTAACGAACTGTGTAAAACACCGGATGTAATCCACTGCCCATTTAAAAAGTCTTGTGTTTTATTTAGGTATTATTACTGAAATTTAAACATTTATTCTTGATTTTAGTGTTATGTGCCAAGAACTTGGTAAAAAGAGATTCGTTTCGTGAGTATTTTTGTTTTCGAATAAACCTATCACATTACAACTGTGGCATTGTATAATTTATTGCGTCTTTTTGTGCGATGTTGGTTGTGGACTAACCGAACGATTTGAAACACGCAATAGTAACACACGATGTGGAAAGTGAGAAGCAAAGAACAGTACTTATTGTTTGGTTTGCAAGGAAAATGCTCGCGCATATTGTAAATATGATAATTTTCCATCGAATTTATTCAGCATGCTTGTAGAGTTTGATACATTAGGTATATGAAAATCCTTTGCAGTCGTTCGTCACCCTTCAGGAAAGGCAGAGCCCATTTTTGAGTGGTGGGGGGAGGGGGGCTAGAGACCAATTGGCAAACATTATTGGTTGTTTTCCCCCATAATCTTTGGTGCTACTACCTGAATATCATAGTTCAGCAAAAAGTGAGTGAGTTATAGCCCTCCAGCCCCCTGGCTCCCTTAGCAAAGTTTAAAGTTTTGGAATATTTATAAAAGAAACTGGAAGTATAGATGGTTCATAAAGGTATTTTTCAAACTTCAAATTTGTCTGATATAAAAAACTCTGTGAAATGGTGTAGATTTAAAAAAATATTTTATTTGATTGACATCTCACCATTTGTCAGTTTCCTGCTTTTTTAAGAATATGTATATATATATAGCAATTAATCATTTGTTATTTAGATGTAAATGGTGTATGAATATTAAGCTCCCATACCTAAATTTTTATATACCATTTTCCATTCATTCAAGAGCATCACATAGGTTTTTTTCAAAATACCCTCAAAATTATTCAATGAAATTTTCAAACTGCATATAATATTGTACTAAAAATGTTGCTAGCAACTAAACATGTTGCTCAAATTGCATTTGTTTTAACAAGTGTTATCATAATTAAAATGATGTTTTCTATCTTGTAATAATATCAAGCAACTTGTAAGAAGGTCATTACAATTTTGAGAGTTTTCACCGTTTAAACCTATATGAAAATTACAACACTGGTGATTATAGTTAGATTATAATTTATTAAATGTTTACTCTTTTAATTATTATGAACCAAACTGAACTTGGCAATTGTTCAGTCACAAGTGTATTTATTAGTTGTTAGCAAATTGTGTGTTGTTAAGAGTTTAAAGTTTAAGCTAGATTTTGTTTTAAATTGATGCTATCTATATGTTAAAATTCAATGCAATATGGTTAGTTACAAGAATACTTGTAAATATAAAGTTTCCATTCCTTAAAGGGAGACAGTGTTTTTCCAAAAGTTAATTATGTGTCATGAGGGTCATAGCTCAGATATGTAGCACAGAAATAAACCTTTGAAATCTGAAAATCAGTTTTTGAAGGTCATTGAATAACAGTACTAGGTTTTACCAATGGAGTTGAAGAGAAAAGGAAGGAACCTTTTCAAGAACAGTTTGCAAGGCCCTGTAGTGTTTTCCTCAAATTACAATACCCCTCAATTTAGCTGTATTAATGCCAAGGTAAAGGGCCATTAATAATTTTTCCTGAAGCAATGTATGTCTTGTATCCTTTTATAAAAGATGTTTTTAAGAAAAAATTAATAATTTAGTTACAGGCTATGATGTTTTCTTGTGCACATTTTTCAAATTCTATGTCATGTGTTTAAAGTTAAACTTTTTGTTCTTTGATTGTTACCTTAAAATTTTTAACAATCAGTTTTTCTTCCAGCTGTAACACTTGAGAAATCTGCAAAATGAAATTACAATTTGTTTTGCATAAATATTAGATTGTTTGTACAATTGTGATTGCCATTGAGTTGTCTAGAACATCTAAAACTAAGTAAGCCCCCAGAATTAGAGCTTTTATGGGACTCAGAGGGAAAACAAGCTTTCCTGACACATTATTAAAGCTTTTACAGACCTCTAACCATAGCTATAGGGTAGATTTGTGAAAATTTGAAATTTTTACTCGTTTTATTTATCTACATTAATTTGGCACTAACAACTTCACACCTCTTTCCAACAGGGTTGCCTGACCCATTTGCCAGGATAGCGGTTGATGGAAGCGGCCAGTGTCATTCAACACGATCAATTAAAGGGACTTTAGATCCAAAATGGAACCAACATTATGATCTGTGAGTATAATTCAAATTTTGTGGTTTCTGGTTATTCAGACTTTATCTTCCAAACAAGGTTGTGGAAACTGCTTTGCATTTTCCATACAGAGGTTTTTAATTTGATAATAGATGAATGTCAATGCATTGTATCATTTTGGGTTGAAACAAAGTTATGGTGCATTGATGTGATAAATACTTATCTCTGTTTGCAAAACAAGTTGGCAGTGTCACAGGGTCCTTCTCACCAACTACAAGAATGGTATCTATAGGTTTTTGATGGTAGGTATTTTCCAAGCACATTGCTATGTATCAAAGCTACCTGTCATATACAAGGTTTTTGTGTCTATATAAAATTTAACATAGGTTTAAGCATGATGGTATTTTGGCAAGCAGGAAAAGCATGTTCCATCACAAGCTTTGTTACATGGTTTTGGCTTTCTTATTAGATAAAGGAGAGCATGTGAAGTATATATATGAGTTATTTTTTATACCCAGAAAAATATTTCCACAATTCCTTTCTTTTATCAAACAATATTTTTCACCTTTAGTTCTAATTTTGTGTAAACAACTGGTCTAAAGGGGGTATGGTTAATCAGTTAATTGTTAGTTCAACAAGTTGTAGTTCAGTTAGTGTTTTCTTTTGAGTGAGACGTGGAGTGACATCAAAAAGATGCTATTTTGAGATATTTAGGTACTTGACAGTGCCATTCACAGATAGTCTTGGGCTGTTGAAATTTACTATACAGCAATGAATTTGATTTCTTTGTTAGATATTTGTTTTAAATAATCTTGATTTTAAAGTATGTTTCTAACAGTTCTGTAGTATAGGAATTAAGGTAGAATATGATTTTTTATGTATAAGTTGCTTAAAGGCTGTGTACTGCCGTGTACTAGTCCCCCCACTTTTTTAGAAAGTTGGTTCTGAGATTTTTAATAACCTGATGAGAAAACTTAGGGGAGGGGGTTGTATGCATGTTATCTAGACCGTAACATCTAAATGACATTTCTTGGGAAACAAGAGGTGTTTCCTCCAGCAGAAAATGTTTCAGAAACAGGGAATAAAGGGCGTGGTCCGAAAGGGTGTGGTCCCTTACACACCTTTTGCCCCCTTCCACTTATTCAAGGCTGGAGCTGCCCCTGGTAGCAAGCACATATCCCCCTACCCACTTATTCCAGGCTGGAGCCGCCACTGGTAGCAAGCACATATCTGCACAGGCAGACAGTTGGTATTTCAACCAGGGAGAAATTCCTTTCAGCAGTGAATTTTATCATATTTGAACCCATTATTGTATCATATGAGGCTGGCTTGTTCATGTTTCGCCCAGTCCATGTCATGTCACAATATGTTTTCACCATGTTGACCTAAACAGGCTGCTAACTTCAATATCAGGGCGATGATGGAAAAATGCTGTCACTTCATGTCTGAGGTGCATACCATAGCTGTGTTTCTTTTTGATGCTAATTTCAACTTTACCAGAGTTGAGCTCTTCTGTCAAGCTCTCATTCTCACTTTGAAGATTCTTTATTACTGTTTCACTTATTTGTTAGCAGTTGACATGATAGTGATATCTTCTTCTCCTTTTATAGTGAAGTAGATTTTAATATTTTCAGTTACAGAGTACCGTGTAAATGCTGGTGAAAGTGTTTGCCATCCTTCGTGTGGGTGCCGCTTCACTCTCTTAACCGGCGGCCATTTGTATAAACGTATCAACCAGTTACGCTAAGCCAAGCCAAAGTTCGTGGTTGAATTGCTTGCCATTTCATGCCCTCAAGTTATTGAATTATGCGAGTGGTGACCCTTTTGAAACATGCTAAGCGCTGTAGACCATAAACGTTCAAAGCGCGGAAAATCTTCTTGATCGTTCTTCTTTAGTGGCTATCTTATTGCAATTATTGTTATTATCTCCTCCCTGTAACTTAATTATTGATCTCTGATTATCCATGATACCTGAATCACAATAGACTGATACAATAGATAAAGGGTTTTCGGCCATCGCTTGACCCTCTTCGACGTCTAGGTTTGCTAGGCAGTTACAGCGTCTCTTCGATCAAATCTGCCCGTAAAACCACATGTAAAGCTTTTCTGACACTAGCTATTCATTTTTCTGCCAATTTCTTGGTTTCAGAGATCTAGTTTCGTAAGAACTGTGTTGTTTGGAGAAGTTTCCATGTTCACTGCTAGCTTTCAGATTACCTCACCTGTTTTGCCTGGCCAACAGTCGATTGCCAGATAATTTTTATTGCTCACCAAATCTTTGAAGTTTCCACCACTTTTGTTACACGAGATAGTGACAGTTTTAGCCTAAACCACACAATTTGAAAACATTTCAACTATGATCAATTTATATCGAAGCAATGCTTTAAATCAGCGGATGGAAACGGGATAACCTGGGTATCTATAACATTTAGCTGCATCCGGGACCTATAATCATCAGAAATGTCATTGCCTTTTTGTAAGTTGTCTATTGAAAGTGTTGGATTCTGGGTAATTGTTTGATCGTAAGTTGCGTAATGAAAGGGTTGGATTCTGGGTAATTGTTTGGTCGTACCAGAGTGCTCTTGCTCGAATATATAAGCAGGCCTCTTCTTAATTGAGAATCGTCACGACGGTAACAACTATCTTCCAGATGAACCAGGGGCAAAAATACACAATGTACATGCCTTAGCAAGCTTTGTTATGCTCTCTCCACCCTTTCAGCCTTAATGTTTTTCCTCATATTTTCCATCTTTTCAAAACATGATACCAGAATGTTACAGAAGTAGTGTGATTTTTAAACGGTAGTTGATGTCAAGTTTTAGGTTAAAATGCCTAAGTCCCCAACTGTCATTTACCTGCCTAAACCTGTAGCCGTTTAGTTTTTAAAAATAAGTAGCACCAAATTTTGTAAGCAAGTTCTTTTAATCTCGCTCGTCTGACTGTCGGCCCCTTGAGGAATTTTGAATTAGTCTCAAACGGGCTGTTTCGAAAACTCCAGCGAAATAAAGGGAACGTTAAATTAACCACTTGGGCTTCATAAATTAGAGCGATTGTTCTATGAGCTGAAGGCGTGATTTTTAAAGGTTTTTTTCTTCGCACATTTCCACCAATAAAACTAGTGGCAAGTTCGATGTCATTCTGTGGCAACTGGCCAAATGCCTTTGGAGTCCCTGTATCCAGTCTCTTTAAATGTTGTTGTAGCAGTTGTTTTTGAACTGGACTTTTTTGAGAAGCGTGTTTTTATTTTCGAATACATTCAAGGAAGTAGAGCGCCCCCCTTTTTATCAATTATAAAGAGTCCAGGTAGAGGTAGTGGTTGGACAAAAAGTTGATGCAGGGCCTTTTTTAACATACTGGCCATTGGGCAACTTTACATGTTGACGTTAGGGCTCATCTTCTTGCAATCTATATTCAATTGTGTCGCGGTGAATTTTGCAATGGAACCGAGAACTGACAACATATTCGAGAAATGATTGTGTTGTGAAAGATTCACATTCGGATGAATTGTTCAATATCAGAGTCTTTTCTCGAAAGCTTTTTAACAGAACCTCGAAAACAGTATCAAAACACTTCCAATTTACTTTGCATTATCACTGAATGGAAGTTTAACCATTGTTTATACCGAATTCGTTCAGAGGATCCCGAAAATATAAAATGAGTTCTTTTGAAGGGTAATGGTGTAAAATACGGACTTTTCTTCTTATCGCAGAATGAAAGCTATCAAATGAATCAAAATGCTTTGGCCTATTAGAATCTTAATCCCTGTGTATGTGTCTAGATTAGGGCTTTGTGGGTTTTGCCGGAAAAAACCTTCCCTGCAATTTCATTAAGCTTTCTCTTTCAAAGGCAAGGGGTTGGAGCACCGTGACGCCAAAGTACCAACCTCGAAAATAGCCAACTTTTCTGTCCCATTCATGCTCTACGCCAAAATTATGAAAACTGATAAAAGAAGATATTTTGGCATTGATAAACTTCTCGTTAGTTTGTTTCCTTTCCACAAGGATTTGTTTTGAACCCATCTTGCTGGGAAATTGTAATGTTTCCTGTTTCGTCGAGATCGTTATTGATGAATCTTGATCTTGCTGACGCCATTAGTTACTGCTTGGCTCGGCACCAGCCCCATTGCTTCGCTACGGACCTCAAGTGTATCACGTTGCTCAACTGAATACAGATAATCTCACCAACTGTGGGTAGATCAGTTTTTAAAACCGAGTTAATGATTCATTGCTGCTGCTTGTTTAGTTGGTCGAAAAGGCCTAACGTTGAAAGCTACTCTGTTTCATCGAAAACCCTGTTCGCGATTAAAGAAAGTGCTCCCAGCATTAGCAGATGATTTTGAGTAACATTTTTTTAGTTAGAATTACAGATTCTGTTGCAAGTATGCTGAATGATACGGTGATAAGAAGCGTAATTTGATTTTCTATTTGAATGTGTATTTTGACCAGATGTATGGCTTTAAAGTGTTGGTTTTCAAAGTCGATTACGTCGTCAGACCCAGTCTCCAACTGAGATCTTTGGGAAATTCCATTAACAAAGGCTACTAATTTTAAGTTACGCGTATAGTTTTCTCCCGGTTAAAATTTCAGCGCACTTTCAAATTGGAAATGGCCAGCTCCACCTGCCATCTTAGAAAGAAGACGTACTTTGTGCGCCGTTGTTCGTCTGAAACATATCTTGAGAGCACTGCCTAAAACAACAGACTTTGGGTTAACAGGGGCAAGGTATAAGGACTCAATAGTCTCACGTAGTGTTTCATTCGGAGTAGAACGAACAGACTGGATCAGCAGACTGTAATATTTATAGTCACGGTAAACCTTCCCGAAGAAGGACAGTTCGCTTCTTATAGTCACATACGCTTCAATAATAGTTATAAAATTCACCTGTTATGTGATGTATGCCAATCACGAGGCACTAAAATTCACGATACAGGAAAAGTCATTATCAGAATAATCATAATCATCATAATAACGAAAATAACAAGTTACCTAATACCTTGTGTATCTGAAATTAATAATATCTCAAATTTCAAATCCCATATAACTAAAAATTTTATTAGAAGTTTATAAACAATTGAAAATTATAGAACCCAATGAAAGCAGTCACCTATGATTGAAAATTCCGATTATCAGTCTGTTTAGAACAAGCTATCATCTTTATCCTTAAACAACAACAACAGGTGTAAAAGGCAAAGCAACGGAATTTTATCCGGTCGGTAGATTTTTGTTCTGCCTGAAGTGGTTTCACCAACAGAATGATTTGTAACTTGCCAACTCTAACAATGATCTGAAATATTTTTTATGAGACTCGTAAAGCCCGACACAGTTAACTGTCGAGGGACATTACGCAATAGCCCTTGTGCTGGAAGCAAGTTGGTTTTTGTATGAAGGGGTTGCTGCTCACTAACCGTCGCAGTGGCGGATATATGATAGGGAAGAGATTGTTTGGGGTTGGAGACGAAGAATGGGCGGCGGAATACGATGGGGGGTTGGAGGTATGGCAGCAAAGTTTTGTGGTAGTAAAAACGTATTGTCGGTACATTCTGTTTGTGAAAGGGTCCCTATCCCTATGAACATCTCTTTGTATCTTCTCGTTGTCGCATTGACTAACATTGTCGCCTCTGCACAAAACTGATGCCCTAGATGCCATTGCATTGTGTACGAATAAGATGAATAACCGCAGTGAGGTATTGCTTATCAAAAAAGTTGATCTGATCAGGTTACGGGATTGAAGGGCGAAATCTCTCCTAATTTTTCTCTATCGGACTTTGAGAGCCTAATGCTCGTAAACGACGTTAAGGTATTCCCGCGACTATAAAAATACTTTTGTTCAACCACTAATAATTCAGACGGAACCATAAGCCTTTCCGACGTCGTCTGACTTTTGGGGTTAAAATTTAGTGTCGCGTCCGCAAATGCCAAAAATGTTGTTAAAAATCCCTTGGTTGTTATCATATGGTGAAATTTTTTATCATTGAGGACTATAAAAGTAAACTGACTTTCGAATATAAACCTCTGCCAACTGGTCTATATACATGCAGTCCAATATAAAATTGAGAGGGTGGTCACAGATTTAGGAACCTGGGGTACCATGTCCCCCCTGTTTTTTGAACAAGTGGTGCTCAGTAACCTCTACACGTAAAATCACAGTACAAAACACAGTAAATCAAGCTCTTTAAGATAGCTACTTTTGAAGGCATTTTAGAACAACTTCTCCTAGGGGACATCCCACCTCCAAATCCATAAATCTTCAACGTTGCTGAATTGGTATTGGAAATGAATTGCGCCGGGAAGAGGCTGTTAGGTAATTGAAATTGAAATTTCTTGTTAGGTAAAGAGCAGAGCCCCAGTGATGCCGTGGAGGGGGCTCAGCTTCCTTGTTAAATTCTGAGAAAATTCGGGGACTCATCTACCCCTCCCCTCAAAATGCGAGCTCGTTTTTGGTTGGACGAATTTTGTGTTAGCAGCTCTTCATTAAGTTATAACTTTTTCGTGAATGAGCGATTTCATGTCAGTCTTTCTGAGTCAGCGAATTGTTAAAATGATATCATATACACAACAGATAATCTTGGATGATGTTGGATGTGGTCATGGGTTTGGCTGCGAGAAGTTGCCTATGGCACAGCCTCCTCCTTACTTTTAGGACGGCACCCCTCACGAGTTCCTATCTTAATACAGGTAGAAGGAAATTTCGCATTAGTCAATACCCAAAAGATTACTTTAGATACGAGAAGATCGTGTTTCAATTTTTTTACCAACCACCACTTTTGCCCTTCCTGCTCCAACATTTCCCCGAAAAACATCGATACGAAGATATCATGCAAATCACAGGGAAGAAACATTCTTCCTAGCCTCTTTTGTAGCAAACCAACATACTGTTAAATTTGACTTCAGAATTAGGTGTTAGTGTTTCAAGGCTTTAGCAAACTTAGTGCCACCGGCAGGCAAGAAAAAGTAGGATGTATGGGGTTATCCACGGATCAGTCACATCTTGCGTATATCTTCGCAGTTCAACGGGCAAAGCCATCTTGCTGGAAGTGTTTTCGTGAGTACTAGGGCAGGTGATACGAATATGGCGGAGACTGTTATTCGTGTAGTAAATTGATCACCAGCCAAGCGTGTTCATCAGTTCTGGGCAGCATTGTTCGGCAAAATGTTGTTTTCAATTAAAGCGCAGACAATTGTCTAGAAGACCATTTGCAAAGACTTCCTCCGAAGTCAAGCCACAAGTAGAGACGTATGCACGGAAGCACACACGGGCACCACATTGGATAGCGCACCGAAGGTGTTGCCTGTTTGTTATCAATAGGCTATCTTTGTATGAAAATTTCAGTAAATTTTGGGGGCAGGTGTTTTCAATTTCAATGCTTTCATAAAACATCGAGATTTCAGTGTATTTACAATTATAGCCTCCAATTTTTTTTCTAAAAAATTATAATTTCAAGAAAATGAGTCAACTTTTTTCGTTAATGTTTTTGGCGATGGCAAGATTCTTTACTGCAAGACTACCAGAGCTATTCAAAATGTAATTTTAGCTAATCTAAAAGGCTGAGTCGCAACTGTTCCGCTTCGCTCGGCGATAGCCTAGTTCTTCCTTCAGTCTCAAACGAAACCTCCGGACGACCCCTGTTTATGTGTCTGGTGTTAGTTGTAACTTCACGTAGCTTCATGCGAGGTTTCAAGAACACAGACATGTCGATATCAAGGATACACGCTTTTTTTATAAGAATAAAGCCCCTATAAGCGTTTTAAGGCTCAAAATCGCTGAAATTTAAAAATATTTTGAGAATAATGCAATTTTTGTTTTCAACTTACTTTGACAGCTGCTTTGGCTAATAATTGTCCAGGCATTGATCAACGAAAAGACTGAATTTCTATTAAATTTACATTTTTTGACAATAGATTGACAATAACATATATTTATTATAACATATTTTTATAGCACGTTATATTTAAAAAGCTCTTAAAAAGATAAACCGGTGAAAAAGAGAAGGACTTCTAAAAATAACTTTTCCTGGCGACTACACTCATTTTTTTGGTAAGAAACTGGCTATAAGAAACGAGTACTGGACAGTCAGAAAAAATTAAGAAACTTCAGTACTCGAAGCAAAAAAAATTAAGAAACTATTAAATGGTGATAAAATTGAGAACAACGAAATTTTATAAAATCCAAGAAAATGATTGCCCTGATGGCCTAGAAATTAAGACACAAGGGATAAAAATATACTTCCCTCGTCTAAATACAGCGTCAGAACGTGAGCGAATCTCTTGACTAAAAAAAAGGCCACGAACATTTCATAACATCATTCATGACATCATAATTAAGAAACTCTTAAGAAACAGTGAGTATTGAAATTTCCAGAACATTAAGAAACTGGAGTACTCAACATCGACCTTATAAAAAATGATTGTAGATGATATCGTTGTGGCAATAGGCCTTTTATAAATAAACCCGCATTAGCTTTTTATTGATGGCCTAGAAATTAAGACACAAGGGATAAAAATATACTTCCCTCGTCTAAATACAGCGTCAGAACGTGAGCGAATCTCTTGACTAAAAAAAAGGCCACGAACATTTCATAACATCATTCATGACATCATAATTAAGAAACTCTTAAGAAACAGTGAGTATTGAAATTTCCAGAACATTAAGAAACTGGAGTACTCAACATCGACCTTATAAAAAATGATTGTAGATGATATCGTTGTGGCAATAGGCCTTTTATAAATAAACCCGCATTAGCTTTTTATTGATGGCCTAGAAATTAAGACACAAGGGATAAAAATATACTTCCCTCGTCTAAATACAGCGTCAGAACGTGAGCGAATCTCTTGACTAAAAAAAAGGCCACGAACATTTCATAACATCATTCATGACATCATAATTAAGAAACTCTTAAGAAACAGTGAGTATTGAAATTTCCAGAACATTAAGAAACTGGAGTACTCAACATCGACCTTATAAAAAATGATTGTAGATGATATCGTTGTGGCAATAGGCCTTTTATAAATAAACCCGCATTAGCTTTTTATTGATGGCCTAGAAATTAAGACACAAGGGATAAAAATATACTTCCCTCGTCTAAATACAGCGTCAGAACGTGAGCGAATCTCTTGACTAAAAAAAAGGCCACGAACATTTCATAACATCATTCATGACATCATAATTAAGAAACTCTTAAGAAACAGTGAGTATTGAAATTTCCAGAACATTAAGAAACTGGAGTACTCAACATCGACCTTATAAAAAATGATTGTAGATGACATCGTTGTGGCAATAGGCCTTTTATAAATAAACCCGCATTAGCTTTTTATTCTTTGTTATTAAATGGCTTTTATTTTTTCGTTTACCGAATTTTCCCGGCAGTTGTTTTATGGCAGACATTCAGTATAAAGCGAACCAATGAGAAACACATTGGCTTAAAATCTAAAGCAAAGGAAAATATATTTCAGTAGAAAATGATTACATATCACGCGTAGAAGTAACAACTTTATTCGATTTTGAAAAACCTATTAGACCGATTTTGGACACCTGTTAGACCAAAACAAACACAATTCAATGACATGTTTTTTTCAAAGTTATTTCTCTGATGCAAGTTCTGGCACATTTTGCCCTGTAATAAATTGCACTTTTCATATACCTGAAATTAAAATTTATTAGTTGTGCCATTTAGATATCTGAATCTCTTCTGTATTTTTTATCTTACGCACAATCTTGCTAAAACTCTGCAAGATTGTGTGTTAAACTCGTTAATAGTTTAGATTGTGATGCAGCATCGTCCAAAGAAAATGTATTTAAATTGTGGATGTTTCATTTAAATCTAGATGAAGATTTGTAAAGGACAGCCCTTTCTTCTCTCAATTTCATTGCTATTGTAGATGTCTTTTTTACTCAATTTCTCTTGATTTTAGATTTGTGAGTAAAAACGACTCCATCACTGTTAGCATATGGAATCAGAAGAAAGTTCATAAAAGACAAGGCGCAGGTTTCCTCGGCTGTGTAAGACTGACGTCTCAAGCAATACTGCGTTTGAAAGATACAGGATGTAAGTGGTATATTTTTGTAACTTGTGACTTGCATTTACGTGTATTAAAACTCGTTAAGTGCGATCCATGAAAAGGACACATGAATATTGTTTCAAAAGCGAGTCTTGCAGATAAACCCCAAGGCTTCCTGACGATATTCGAAACTTTGATGCGCTGCAAAAACTATCGAGAAAACCTCTACTTAGGTTTTGTGCAAGGCCTCGACGGATAGGAGCTGAGTTTGGGTCGAAAATGTCCCTATTGCTTGTACATAATCACAGATGACGTAATCTGAGGGGAGTCAGATATCTGTTTCCTAGTTTTTGATTGACAGTGAGGTTTCATATCTTATAAAAGCTGTCTAGACATTTTGTGGTGACACTATCACAAGGTTCCGATCACCACACCTAAAACACACCTCTATACTTTTTGTTTTTGCATTATGGTTCAAGGGCTTGGTATGTAGAAATGGCCAACAAAACTAAGGTCCCAAAGTGCAGAAGTGACTGGAGTTCGTGCATTAATCCTTAAGCCAGTTCTGCTGAATAAATCAGTGTTTAACGTGGTACCCGTTTTATCATTTATGATCTTCACCTCGCCGAAAAACATCTCCAGTGTCTTTGTTTAGGACTCTAAACGCGGCCAGATTCAATTTGCAGAAACGGGCAAATTCTTAAACCCCATTTATTTGTCTTTCAGATTTCAGCATGAGCCCCTTTTCCTGTTGATATCGTCTTTTGTGTTAGTTGAAAAGGTTCTATTAACAAGATGAATTAGGCCATTTGATATTAGCATCATACAAGGAGGTTACAGAAATGTGAACATAATTTGTTTTTATCTGCTTGTTTATCCTACGTGAATGCTAAAAGAAAGTAGCTCACCCATTCTCACAGCATTCAACGTACAACAATTTAATCTCATTAGATTGCACCCTGAGTTGTCGTTTTTACAGCGTCGATCACGTTCCCATTGATTCACCCTTTAGGGTGCAAGGACATCAGGTATTAGAATGATTTGATGATCTTTCCAAAAAGCCACGTACGGCTGGCCAATATCAAATAAGCTTCATTTATGCCGATCAGCACCAAGCTCTTGCAAATTTAAGATACTAAAAGTTTAACAACTTGAATCATAAGTATTTCAGGAGGATATTTCTCTGAAAAAACGATCATCTAGATTGGGTAAAAATGAATCCAGAGGGAAGATATTTGCCGCGTCACGCTGTTCGAGATACATCTAGCCGTGGGGTTTTTGTAAAGGCAGGCAAAAGATATTAACAGGGTACTTTTTATGAATGACTGCTATTCGCTGCAGCTGCTTTTAGGAGTAATGTCGATAGAAAATGTTCAGCTCGGAAGCTAGAATTTTTATCCTTGATTAATATGCGTCCTGAATCTTCGCATATGTTCAGCAAAGCTGGTTTTTTCTGTACTAGCGCTTGAAGGAAGAAATGAATGGGAGCCACAACTCGAATACCTGAAGGATCCCGGTAACCAAATGCGTGACCCATGACGCTTATTATTTTTGCAGATGTGTCTTTTGATTTTAGGCATTGTTGCTTGTGTTCATCGCCGTGTAATATCACAGATGATCTGGTAATCCAACCATTATTGCCAAGGAATATAACAATTAAGTAGGCCCTTCCATAAAAGACTTTCTGAGTTCGGTTTCTTGCTTTTCTATGAACGACCTTCTAACCGCAGTTTTGGAGTCAATTATGCTTTCATGTTTTTAATAACTTTGAAATTCTGTAGTTTGCCAATTAAGTTGTAGCTCTAAGGGCTTCGAGGTCTCGCAGCGGCAGCCCAAAGTTTAAGTTGTTGCCAACACGATTGAAAGGTGAAACAAATTTAAGAAACCTTACCACTGGTCAGCCACAACCTCAAGAAGCTGCTTGAATAAGATTCGTTTGAAGATGGGCTGTAACATTTTCTTTCTTTAGGCAATCAGGTGCCTGTTTCTAATTCATTTGACAAAAATAGTAAAAAAAGACCTCCTTGCAACTAATTAGGTGTTTCTGTTGCAGTTTCATGGTGACTCAAAATTGGCAGTTTCGTGGGCGCAACCACTCTTTTTAGCGCCGCCTAGAGGACTGTGCCTTGGCTCAATTCTATCAGAACCAGGAAATCCCATTAAAAGTGGGGAACCAGAATGTTTAGTTTGACGAAGGTGGCCATCTCGATTTAAACTGAAGAAAGACCCTGGGCAATATTCATAGGCTTTCCTATCATTATGCCAAAGTTGCAGTTCAGGGCTTCGATTAAGGCCGCCACCATGGATAACGACAAGAAGAATTTTCCTAATTTGATGTTCTAGGAGGGCACGTGCCATTCACCCCCCCCCCCCACCCTCCAACCCCGATCACAACGTCACTGTACTGGTTTGATTTGTACCGACAATCTTTCTTCAGGTCTCTGCAATCTTTTATTTTCTTTTTTCTATTTTCTTTATCGTGCAATTATGATTCCAAATATCTCTTAAAATCATTCTACATAAGGCTCCAATTATGCTGAATGTTTAAAAAAAGTGAAGTTAATTAGAAGTTGGATTAGGAACACCATGGAGTTTTAGTTTAATTATCTTCTCGAGTGGTCATTTTATATTTGTGGTTTTTCCCTTGATGCATTGCGAGTCGTGTTTCTCTTATCTCCATGGCACCCGAACGGCCTTATCCTGGATTAAACTTTATCTTAAGCTAAATAAAGTAACTGCAATTTATTTTGTCGAATTTTTTAACAAAACTTGCCGGGTTTTAGGAAGGGCTCTTAGTTTCCAGGTTCATTTAAAGTGCAAGAAATTGTTTATTGTGAGCTTCAAAATCTGAACTCCTTGGTTATGTTTTTGTAAGTTGCTTATGTTTGTGACAAAATATCCCCCGTTTCTGCATTTAAAGAGCATACCCAGGAACAGGAGGACTATTCGGCGCATGTTCTTGTATATTATGTACGGGGGATTGCTCACTCTTTTAAACAATTACTGTTGCTTGTTTTCGCAATAATATTATTCGGTACTGTGCGGTGATTGAAAATAAAACCAATCAAATCCTCAAGAATTTTTATTAAATTTAAAACCAGTTATTTTGATATTTTTAATGCAGAGTTGTTTTGATTAAACTTGAATGTTGGTCAGACAGTACTTCCTCTTTTGTAGCCAGGGGTAGTGTTTTTATCATATCACATTTTTTCTAGACCAACGACTAGAGCTGAACAACATCTCCCCATACGTTCAGGATTATGTACGTGGACAAATAGTTGGTGAGCCATTAATATTATTCCTAAAAGGCTTGATTTTGTTTGATACTAAACGTCTATAGCCCTATGCAATAGGCTTCTGAAGCCGGTTTCTTTGGCAGCCAACTTCCATGTGATGCAGTCGTATGGCCACACATATTAAATATATCCATGTTCTATCATCATAGAAAATCAATATTCTGACTTTTTGCGTAGAAAAAAAAATTGCGTAGGTTTTCTCTCGACCTGCACCTCTCAAACGTGGCGTCTTCAATTTTTTTTGGTGCCGAAATCTTATTTTCTAATTCCAGCATACAGAGTAAAGGATGGCTCACCCATGAAGAAATTGTAGCTCTGAAGGCTTACCGAACAATTAGATAAATTAATTTTGTACTGGGTCGCCTGGCATTTAAGGACGATGTTTTGGCACCTGCACCTGAAGTGCGAGGCTGTCAGCGAACCTGAAATCATTTAAGATACCTGTGCTAGTTCACATCTGCTCGTCCAAAATCTCCGAAAAATATTAACACGCTTTTTCTGAATAAATACCTTTTCCATAATATATGCATGACGCCCAGCCTAACCAATAATCTTTTTTTTAGTGAGCATCGAGACAAAAGGAGGAACCAATGCGATTGTTGACTCTCGAGGTATTGTGACATCAACACCAGCTGTGTGCACCGATATCTTTGAGCTCCCCCCAGGGTAAGATTTTCTCTAAATAGGATAGTTAGTTGCAAGGTGACGTCATTTGTTGCAAGCAATGCAACTTATGATTTCACCCTTTGGCGCTGTTTATTCTCCTACCTTAACCTTTTTCTCTTGATTTTTTCATAGTTATGCATAAGAGCCCTCGAATTTGTATTGCTAGCTTGTTATCTCAATGTTATTAAAGACATCATCATCACCGCCGACTGATATCATCACTGCCACCTGTCATCATTACGGCAAACTGTCATCATCGCCGCCAAACTGTCATCATCGCCGCCTGTTTTCATTACTCCCGCCGTCGTCACTTTATCTTCACTTATTATTATTATTATTACTGTTATTATTGTTAATTAATTCTTCGATTAAAGCTGGCAAATAAAATATAGCTTAAAATGCCTGTTAAAGCCAATTATTTATAAAATATTGTATTACTATTACCGGAGGCCCACTATTAACTCTTCACCGCGAGATTCGTAATCATAAAGCAATTTGCCCAGTTGCTTAATAATTATTTAGTTGTTACAGTTTCATCCTTTACCCACAAATGGTCTCTTTGTTAAGATTACCTTTTGCTCCTTTGCCATTACGTTCGTGAACCTAAGAGAAAAGCCTGTTCTTGAATAGATGCCGTTTTTGCGCAAGTTCGGTAATTTCTCCACTGCGCAGACATGCAGCCTTAATAAGTTACAGTTAAGGTAATCTCGATCTTTGATCGATATCAGGCGGTTATGCAGAGTCTTACCATACTTGAACAATTGAATAATTGTCATTAAAGTGATGGTTTAACCACAGCTTGCTGCAAAGCCCTGGGTTTGTTTAAAGACTTTCCGCCTTGGTTTCTCACTGTCGACATCGAAAGATTCGATCTTTTCGTGGGTAAAAAATTTATTAAGAGTTTTCAGTGCGACCACCTTTGAATATTTTTTTATTGTCGAGAGCTCCACACATTGTAAGAAAGTTCGCTTAAGCAGACCGCTAGACTTCGCTTGCAGTTGCCTTACATCCAGAGCCAATATTGAGCTACTAGTCATGGCAATTGTAATTTGGTTAGGGCACATCAATTTTCGACGTCTGCTGTCTGATAACATCGTTATTTCTAAAATTAAGCCTTTTGTGAATCCTATGACAAAATACTTAAAATATAGCGATTTTCCATAAGTAATATCTTGTCATCTGTTACGCTTCTCAGAGAAACGGTTTGTATGTTTCATGGATAAAAATTATCTCCGCGTGCTTTTCTAAAGAAATCATGGACTCGTAGACGATGCAGGCTCGGGTTGGGCTCTCTTCTCTTCTGGATCAGCTTAAAAGACCCACCCCCCTCCCACCCCCTAGAGCCAACTAGCTACCTATATGCATGTTAAGGCCAACTAAACCTCTGATGTTAAAACTCGCGTATTTGTAACCTAAACTATAAAACTGATTTCTCTCACATTACTGGTTAACAATTTTTTCACCATTCATAATATTCTCATTAATTATCATCGCCCCAGCTGATTTGTAGCATACATGTCTCTTGATAGATGGGAGGAGCGAACTACCCCAAATGGACGCATCCAGTATGTTAATCACGTTACCAGGACCGTTCAGTGGGAAAGACCCACAAGGTAATTTCCTTAATGTGTTATTTTTCTGTAATTATTTGGTTTCTTTTCGCCGTTTTAGGCCATTGTTATGTTTTTCGCAGTTCTTTCTCATGGTTGCTTGGTTACAAACTCGATCATTACATCCGTATAACACTCATTTATTGAAATTTATCTTATCTTTGGGATCATTTCCCGCCTTCTCAGCAACTATGTTTACACTATAAAAACCAGTTAAATAGTTTTTATCTTCTTCCATGAGCCTTGTAGCTATATCTACTAGTAAAAAACCTTGATGAAAGCCAGTACCTTAACGAAATAAAGTTTACTATGTTCTTAAGCCGCCTCTTACCCCTCCTTTCAGCGTTTTTTTATTCGATGATCGAAAAACTGATGTCTGTGTTCCATGGCTGCAGTTTAAAATCATTCATTGTTTCCTGGACTATAGGCTGCTCCTTAACGCCACTTGTTTTGTCTTACGCGTAGATCTTTCTAATTCGAACCTCTTATTTCTTGACATCCATTATAGGTCTGCCTACGACTACCACGTATCTCGAGCAGAAAATGGCGTCATCGTCCAACGTTCGGGAACAAATTTATCGTCATCACTTTCGAATTCACCTCCGTCATCAATTAGCTCGTCACCGGGATCCTCATCTGCTTCGTCCTCTCGCCTTACAACTGAATCGAGTTCGTCCGGCGAGGATCCGATCACGAACCGACTGAGAGAGCGTCGAGATAGGCGAGAGCGTCGGCAATCAGCTCGCCACGAGAGCTTCATGAATAGGACTTTGATTCACGGAGCCCAGGCTCCTGAAAACTTTGACCGTAAAACGACACCACAAGGACAGGTGTATTTTGTAAATAGAATCACTGGTCATACCACTTGGCATGATCCCCACATGCCTAGGGACACAAGTTTTCTGACCGAGCAAGAACTTGGTTCTTTACCCGATGGCTGGGAAATCAGGCATACGGCAACTGGTAGGGTGTATTATGTAGACCATAACACACGGACCACCCAGTTTACAGGTGAGGGCACACAAATTCCCTACTCCTGCTTAGCCTCTATTGCCAAATTTTGCACACATCTCGTCAAAACCTCTTGTTGAAAAGGCGCTTCATGCATCGGTAGGATTTGATCGAGTATATTTTTAGGCAGCTGCCAGGATGAATCACAACAAAACAGTTATTTTTACTTGTTCTAATATGATAATTTTTCTTAAGTTCCTTATAACTCAGAAGCTGAAGACTTTTATGAATTTAGCTTTTTATGCGACTTTTTCGTGAACATTGCCTTTTTCTCGCTAGATCCAAGACTTTCGCAACTAAGACAGCTTCGTTCAGATTCAAGTAGAAAGACGTCGTCGCTAGTTAGCTCGCCCAAGTAAGTTTGAATATGTTTTGTTGGATCTCCATATTGAGGCATCAATGGATAGGGGTTTTCTCCTCTACAAAAAGTACGAGTTAGTCTATGAACACTTAGACACCAACAAGAATCGCTTTGCCTGCTTAATCTTTATTTCGAACAGAGTAAATGAATGGCTCAGTGTTTGAAGACACGTACTACAGATCCAATATTTTTGGGATTCGTGCCAGCTGTCACTAAGTTCAGGAATTGGCATTAGAAGGTTTGGTCACATTGAAATGAATGACCTGGTACTGCTCGATAAACAGAGCTTCTCTGTGTTCTATAGGCTACCTTTGAACTTTAAGGTAGATACAAATACAAATACGTACATTCTACTACTCCTAGCAAATTCTACTGCTCCTATCACTGCTTCGCTATATGTGGATGCTATTGATGTTTTATTTAGGACAGTCTTTCAAAATCTTTACCGATTTTCTAAGCAAGATGCGATTAAAGAAAAGAATAGGGCACAAATGCTGTTTGCGCATATATATAGATATATAGAAATGACAACCAAGTCCTTATATAACGATGCCTTTTTACATTTTTAACTTCGACTGCTTTTGGCGACTTTAGCATTGTTATCCTTTATTTTACCATGTGAATGAAATTTCATCACACTGAGAACTTTTAAATAATATTCGCCACACAATTCGCGTTTCTTAAAGAGATTGTTTTGAAAACACGAGCTTTTCCAGTTTTGATTTCATGAAATTTTCTATTCGTACCGTCGCTCCTCCTGCTAAACTCACAATGTCTGCGGCAGGCTGTTTTGGATTCTGAGAGTCTTAAGTCGAATAAATATGGCGTCTTTGGAAGTTCTGTCTCCTTTAGTCCGATCGACGTAAACCATATACCATTAAAGACAATATTTCGATGTGACCAACAGATAAAGCAGCGTTGTTCTTCTCATCGAAGCAGGAGCATCACAGCTAACTGTGCTATAATTCCATCCATGGCGACATGGCCGTTCAGTTCTTCTATGCAAAATGCAAGTTTCTTTGCGTCGTAAGCCGCTCTTGCTGTGCAGCAGATGTTGTCATAGCTGCTTTTCACAAGAACCGTTTGTTTGTATTTTTCCAGCAGACTCACTGTCGCCACAAAAAGAAATTAATGTGATGCTTGTCCCAACAATACTGTTTTGCGCTTACAAGGAAAAGACGAGTTTCTCTTGAAAATTAAAATATATCCCAAGAGCCTGAAAGTTAATTACGACAGTTTCTTCTCCACAGATTTTTTTGCTATATTTTAGTGTGCTTTCTATTTTGAGTTGCAGATATAAAAGAATTTTAGCATATTTTGAAATTCAGATATTTATGTAGTCTTGTTTACGTTTCTAGTCTTTTTTCAACGTTTTTGCGTTACTTCAATAGAGAAAGAGCTTGTCATCATTAGCTTGCCCAGAGCGTGAAGTAGTCATAAAATTTTTATAGAGAGTCTAATACTTTCATGTGGCTTAATTATTCTTTAAAATGGTTTTAAATTCAATTGAGTTAAAATTTCCGATCTTCATCTTTTTTCAGAGAAGAGTTACCAAAGTACAAAAGAGATTTAATGCAGAAAGTCAAAACGCTGAGGTCGGAATTATCATCGTTACGTCAGATGGTCAGTATGCCGTTTAATTTCTTACTGATTCCATCAATGTAATAGCTTGCGTGCTGTACAATGTTATAGAATAAAACTAGGAATTTAAGTAAAATGTACTATGAAAAATTGAAAAAATTATCAACATTTATAAAAGAAAGACGTTCATTTTAATTTCGTTAATTTTTCATATTACAATTTACTTGAATTCCTAGTTTTATTTTAATTTTTTACTGCGCGATATACTTTCCCTTTTCTACTAATTGTTTGCGTTTTATTGAACTCGGAGTCGCTAGGGAAGCTTACAATTTTGACTAGGCCAATAGCAAGTTAAAGTTTTTATCGAAAGAACCGTGGATTTCTAAACGCAAGTGTTCGTGAAGCTAAGTAGTATAGAATTGGCCGGTTTATTTAAGGAACTGTGAAACAACTTTTTTGGAAGTGATGAAATAACACAGTGTATCGTTTGGAAATGATGGGTTTTAGTTATTTAGATTGAACGTACCAACAACTCCATTTATCCTGGAATATTAGTAATGGTTAGAGTCTGCCTCTGGATTTCCTCGATCTCCTTTCCCTTTTCCATGCTTCATACACTAGTTTAGATAACAAAGGAAAGAAAAGTGATTTTTCTAAACCCCCCTCCCCTCCATTGCTAGTCGGAAACATTTTTGAGGCTCAGAAACCCACCGTGTGGTATGTCACACTATAAAATTCAAGCATGTACTCGATTTTGCAATAGGAAGTTATTTTTGAAGTGTAGAAGTGCCAAGGAGCTACTATGCATGTGAAATTTTATTGAAATTTTGTTTGTGAATTCATTACATGAGGTAGCACAAACGTATTTTAAAAAGACTCTGGTGCCCATTAGCTTTACACATGACAAATCTAAATCTATAGCTATTTCTTTACCCATTCATCTCCTAAGGTTATTTTTATTAGCATTCGGCAATCAAGACTATCTAATTTCATTGTTTTTTCTTCTTACCTGGCAAATTTTGTCAGGAATTCGCTTTATTTAATCAAACAAATTGGTATTATTTTATCTACTTTATAAAACTAGAAACATCAATATGACGGTTTATAGAAAAAAAAAGAATAATTAATTTTTTCTTTTCAATCCCAGTCCGGTCATGCAAGGGTGGAAGTTTCAAGAGAGGATGTTTTCGAGGTAATTATGACTAGGATCTATTTTCCTTTAGATTGTTAGAGCTCGGTTCTTTAAGTGTTTGTGAAAACCCAAGGTTTGTTATTTTTTGATTTTGTTGTGTCATCATAAACAGCAGTTGTTTTTCCGGGGGACTGATGCTTTTTTTTATCTGCCTAAGGAATCTTATAGAGCTGTCATGAGAATGAAAGCAAGAGATTTCAGGAAACGTTTGATGGTGAAATTCAAAGGAGAGGATGGTTTGGATTACGGGGGCATCGCAAGGTATCTATGTTCGTCACTGCCTTGTGTTTTGTACGTAATGCTTGCCACTGTTTACCTTGCGGAAAAAATCTCTATATTTTTGTTGCATTGCAGCTAAGTAAAATTTGCTATTTTCTATGTATTCACTGTACGGTATCCCCTCCTTGCCATTTTTGTTTTCGTTTTAGCCACGATATTCAATTATGCATTAAAACAGTCCTTAAGTTGATAAGTCATATAATACTGTTCTTTTGAAGAGTAATCTCGCGGCTAAATCTTCTTTATAAATATGTACCAAGCATTCCGTAAAGTGAATTCACTTGCTTGCTGCTTAAATCCCAGTTGCTTTATGGGGATAATACTTTTGTTTGTCATGGATTCTATTGAAGCAGATCAATGCGAGTAAAGTATTCCATTCAATTCTACACTGCTTGCTAAAAATTGCCAAATGTCTTTCTTCGTGCGCAACTTATGTGGCCTAACAGAACAGCTAGATCGCTTAGGAGCCATGCCGCATCAGTAACGGCAGATTTCTAAAATATTCCCAGCCCTCTCTGAATAAGAAGTACGATAGTTCTGTCCTAGTTTCGACTCGGAGTCATGCATGACGAGGAAAGATAGTGGATGGTATTCTTGCTTGTTCCCATTTCACTTAAAGCCTGAAAATAAATTTAAATAACATAACAAAAAATAACAAAGGCAAGTGTCAAGTCTTGAAAAGGTCATCCCTGGGTCCCCTCCCCTCTTGAAATGAATTATGGATACGTCCTATTATTGGAAGGTTTTTTCACCTTATTTGACCGCTCACCATGATCACTGGGCTGCTCCGAATCGCACAAACATTTAACACCATCTTTTATGTACTGAAGCATAGTTTTCTCGACCGCTACCTTTGATAGAGAGAGGCGACGGGCAGCAGATGGGTAGCATGCAATGACCATTAAACTAGCACAAGTGTTTTGATATACCTTAATAGATGTTTTGTCCTGAGTCGACCCATTTGAATCGAACGAGATAACATCCGTATATGGAGTCGGTTTCCTGTTTATGTAACTTTGCGTATTTTATTGCTTCCCATAATGCATCTACTGAGAAAAAAACAGCAAACCATATTAACCTCTACGTCATGCTATTACAATTTATATTTGCATAGGATAATTCGGTAGCCAGTGACGTCCTATTTCAAAGAACTTTTGTTTTATATTATGACTAGAACTTTATTTTATGTTTCATTCTTAATTGGTACTTCAAAGTGGCCTAAATTCCCAATTTACTGCTTCAAGTAGCTAGATTTATATAAGCTTTCAGATAAATTACTCTTGATTATGAATAAATGAATTTCTTTAAACTTTCTTCTAATCCACCTAATCAAAATTCTTTTTAGGGAATGGCTGTTTTTATTATCGCACGAAATGTTTAATCCGTATTATGGACTTTTCCAATATTCCAAAGACACTCAGTATACACTAGAAATTAATCCGGATTCGGGCGTTAATCCGGTAAGCATTCGGTTTTATATTTCTTTCTTGGGAAAGGAGTTGCAACTATTTGGACATTTATTCTGGTTTTTGATAAATATGTCTATTTGATTTGGATGCATTTTGATGCCTGTGCGATGGGGATGGATGCAGCTATGATTGGCCATTGCTCGTGATATTAGCCTTGTCTTTACCTTTGTTTACATATAGAATAGTTTTTGTTTTTTAAATCCTTAAAGATATTCACCAGAAATTTAAAACGTAATTTCTACAATACCTATGATAGATTAACGTACGCGTCCTTCTCTTTTTGCATAATGCTGATTTTATACTTATGAAACTAAAGCTCAGGATTGATCAGAACTCTGCTTCTTAATTTCTTTTTGATTTTAAGGCTAAAAGTTTCCTTATAAACCAAATGCTAAAAAGCTGCCTTTTAGAAACTCAAAAACGTAGCTTAAGAAAGCATGTAATAGAACATGACAAAGTATTTATTTATATAGATTGCAAGAGATCCTTCCAGCTACTATCTGTTGAACCAAAAATAGGTTATCAGTTGAACCATTAGTTAAAATTATCAAGTGAACCTTTCAGTCTTAAGTCTCATTGGTCTTGCTCGTCTAGTTTGATAAGAAAGCCACAAACCTTTCACTTTCTCTTTTCTTTTTCTCAACTGATAAATTCAATTATTTCGTTGCATTGCAGGATCATTTATCATATTTCCATTTTGTGGGCAGAATCGTCGGCATTGCAGGTTAGTGACTGCTCTGTTGGTACTTTGTTTATCGGTGCATGTGACGAATTTTAATAAACAGAGACAGGGTTGCAGTTAATTCTTTAAAGGAGAACTGACACGCAAAAATAAGTTTGGCTAAAACGGTAGTTTGTGACAAGCAAATTCCAGGATCGAAAAAATTTTTTAAATCACAGTTACCGTTTTTGAAATACAGGCGTTTTAAGTTGAGAAACGACAATTGTTCCGACAACTTGAGACTCGAGGCGAAAATCGTCACGAGTGGACGATCATCTTTGACGTCACAAGTGACATGTTCTCATCACGTATTGTGTTTCTCTATAGAAACCTTTAACAAAATGCTGCGGACAAATGTTTATTTTGTGCATGTGAAAGGAGCTAATTTTGCATTTTTGACACATAATTGACTTTTTCAATGGTTTGGGACTCTGAATCGGAGTTTTATTACACTGATTTCGAAACAAATGGAGAGTTTCAGCCGTCTGAGTTTTTGCTACCAACCAGCGTTGCCGCTTGGGCAGACAGTCGTCCCATGGCTCAACAGTGACGATATTGTAAACAAAGAACAGACTGGAAGTACAAACTGATATGGAATTTCTATTAGAAATAATGCTATTGCTACAATCTAAATGAGATCAGGTATCGTAAAACTAGAATTTTATTTCAGATTGAGGCGTCTTTAGCCAGACTGCTTTGTCTGTATGGCCTAAATTGGCTAAAATGCCCATGATGCCCTAAACGGAACTGCAAGTTATTAATTGTTAATATAACATTCTATGATTGTTTTTCAATGTTTTAAACGCGTTAACTGTATAGTGATATTGAATAGTAAAGGCGGGTTAAAAGTCGACTTGTGCGGATTTTATGCCATTTTCACCCGGCGTGAAGGGTTTCGGGAACTGATAAGTTACCTGGCAGTCGAAAGATCTGGATTTACGAAATAGGCTCTTAGCTCTTAGTCAAAGAACTTGATTTCTTAGTCGAAGAAAATGCTGTTTAGCTGTCAAAGGAATATCAACTGGCGCATTATATTATTTTGCAAGCAATTTTGACTTGGGTGGGGGATGGGCTTTTTGCAAGACTAGGCTATTCCCTAGTATCTCAACCTCTGTTAAAATGCAATAATCAAGTTCAGTGAAATTATTATTTAGTCACACTCGCAGCTCCCATCAACCAAGGTTTTTTCTTGAATTCATATTTCTGCACCCAAAGCAGGTTGCAGGATCGCTTTTACCGCCGTCTCCACTAGATTTCGTTTGTCTTTTGGCTACTGCTTCAACCCCCTCCCCCACCCCCCATGTTGCGATTTTTTTGTAATTGTAAAAATAAAAACTTTGAAGAAACGGTATCAGTTTTCAAACAAAGTCGACTCCTTTTTTCACAAGCTTAGAGGTTCTTTCAATGTTTCAAAGCATGCTGGTTCGAAGATATCATGGCATGAAAATAAATTTTATGTGGATATAAGCGTCTTAGCAGACATGTAGCTAGGATTTTCTAGCCTCTATATACTTATAAATGAAATGCCTGACAATTTTTTGTCTTTTCACCGCGGACTTTTTTCAATAAAACACGAAACTTCACTTGTATTTTCACCGTTGCGGTGAAAGCCTTTACAACGGCATTGTTAACATGTCACTTGTGACGTCAACCGAGAATTTTAACAACTCCTGGCGATAATCTTGTTTCCGCTTCGGGAAATTCCCGAGTCCTGGCTGTGACGTATTTGACGGATAAAAGTGCAAATATCAGAAAAACGGCGAATCTAAGAAGAAAACTTTTTCCAGATTTGAAGTCAGCGACAAATTTTGCATCGAATAAGCCAAAGTTATTTTTGCGTGTCAGTTCTCCTTTAAGTAAGTCCTCATCTTGAACAAATTTAGAGCTCAGGTCTCCAATTTTTGGTTTGAAAATGATCCTTTACCAGATTATTACAGTAACCAGAATATTTACAATAAATTTGCTCATGAATTTTTTGGTGTCTTATTAAATCGAGCTGCTGCCCCGTAGTCACTTTACATTTATGGACCAACCATCTTTAAAGTCAATATATAACCAGAGTAGACTTTAAATGTGAGATGTTTGGTTATAGTTATATGCTTAAATAGTAATTGTGGCAAATATAAGTTGGCCTTTTCAACACACTTTCAATGAGATCGATATGGGCTGCTTTTTAAGTAGGTTTCCACAGGAAATTTCTCGGCAGCAGAGTGTTCAGTTCAACCCTTGCAGTTATTTAAAACATCTTTCTGTAAGCAACTTGCAGTAAATGAAATTTTCTTTTTCAGTTTTTCATGGTCACTATTTAGATGGTGGCTTCACGATGCCATTTTACAAGCAGATGCTGTCGAAACCTTATGAGCTTATTGATCTAGAAAGTGTAGACCCAGAGCTTCATCGAAGTCTAGAATGGATGCTGTAAGTACTTAAAACTGGATTGCTTCCTTTCTCAATTTAAGCCCTGGTTGTAAGACCGCAACGAGCCAAGCATTAGTTAGAGATTTTTCTTTAGGTCACCAAGCCAACACACAGGTCTCAGTTCTTTGGTCTTTGGTCTCAGGTCTTAATCAAAAGCGCTGTAACTAAATTGACAGCCCCATGTTCACTGTCTGGGCCATTGAAGCATTTAAGTACCATTTTCTTTTGTTAGAAACAAGTGTATAGCAAGCCAGTGGATCTTCTTTTGGATAATGATAGCAAGCTAATAATAACAACCAATCGATGTATCTTAGGAATAGCTGCTATACGATCTTAAATGCCTGCCAAAAGCCTAAGTACGCTACCCCAAACTTTCGCATATCTTCAGCAGCATGTCCTTCTTTCACTAAAACAGTGTTGAATATCAACAGTTTTCAGACTTAAACAGTTTTCCAATTGTAACCTTTCCATTTTTGAAATAGGGTTTTCAACTTACATTCTTTTGGGAGGATGGGACAAAATTTCTGTTTTCTGCAGCAGGAAACCTGTAATTTTGCTTGATCGTTTGTTGACTAAAGTGTGTTTCAAGGCCTTTGGCACGAATAGTATTCGTTGTACAGGGAACTTAGGTGACAATATATCCTCTTTATAACCTAACCTTCTGTTGCAAGCTGTTTTGGGCAGTCCTGCTGGTCACTCCTTGTTTTAACTAAAGAGTTGAAATTAGGGTTATGCAAGGAATCCGTTAATCTCATGTCTTGTTTTTCCTGTTTGACAAATAACCACAAAACTTTCATTTTCGTATCATATGAACTTTATATATATTGTTGGCATTTTGATTCGTTTAATATTGAACCTCGTTTTACAGGGATAATGACATAACGAACATAATTTATCAATCCTTTGCGGTCGAGAAAAGTTCTTTTGGCACTTTGAATTCATTTGAGCTGAAACCAGATGGCAAAGACATCCCTGTCACTGAAGAAAACAAGAAAGAATACGTGCAGTAAGTGTTTTTATATTAAGCTCAATCATTCACTTTATGCTTGGACTAGAACAAACTATGGTGGGAGATTTGGTGAGCTCTGACTTGGCTCTGACTTGGCTCTGACTTGACACTTACTTGGCTCTGACTTGGCTCTGACTTGGCTCTGACTTGGCTCTGACTTGGCTCTGACTTGGCTCTGACTTGACTCTGACTTGGCTCTGACTTGGCTCTGACTTGGCTCTGACTTGGCTCTGACTTGGCTCTGACTTTGCTCTGACTTTGCTCTGACTTTGCTCTGACTTTGCTCTGACTTTGCTCTGACTTGGCTCTGACTTGGCCCTGACTTGGCCCTGACTTGGCCCTGACTTGGCCCTGACTTGGCCCTGACTTGGCCCTGACTTGGCCCTGACTTAACTAGTCCACAAAAGTGGTTTGCATTGGGTAGTTGGGATAGGGGTTTTGTAAACGGTATGAATTTGCTAATTAAAAATCTGTTGGTACTGATCAAACTAGTCCATTGTTATTTCTGAAATTCGATACTTAACCCAACACGATAGCTAGACAGGAAGGTTCTGACATTTAAACTTTTGGAGGTGCCCCTCTTTGCGATTGTTTTTGGTTATTTCCCTTTTGCTCAGGTTTCCTGTTTCATTTTTTTCGACCTCTTCTGGTGTCTCCACAAACTAATTCAGAAATATTATTTGTTATGGTCACTGACTAGAAGATGCTAAAATATTGATTTTACAGATAATTAACCCGGGAAACTATTGATTTAAATGAGCTATATACCGTGTTAATTTGACACTTCACAAATTGTCAAGTCTCATTTCGTGAAAGTTACTCTCACTTTAAAGCCAAAATTTTACACCAGAAGCCAGTTTGATTGAGTTCATCGTTATTTAACGATCTTTTTCTTCGTCAAATGCAACACCCTATTAATAAATTTCTAAAAAAAGCTCAAAACCGTTAAAGTACTATTAAAATCACGACGGTTTGTTTTGTTTGTACTGGTGCATTCAGCTGTTTTGCCAGACATCCAGGTGATATTGTAGTTAAATCTATTTTTGTGACCGCAACACAGTTTATGTTCTTAGATACCTATGCTTTGCTTATGTTTGTCGGCAGTTTGAAATGCCTAATATCAATTGGAATCCCATTAACCAAATGGTGGCATTACGCAAATCCCCTTTGGCTTTACCGCCAGCCTAAACATCCATTCATTTTGATTACATCTGAAATGCTATCCAGCACGCTTCCATTGTTCTGGACCTGTCTTGTTTTTGTTATTCTTAAAATGCTTTCGCGTGCTTCTCATTCCAACTGTTGCTATGTTCCCATACTTTATTACTTTGAGAAACAAAATGATTTTTTATTCAGGAATATTAATTGTCGTGATGGGCAATTAGTCATTCTTAGAATCATTTGTGACAATGCAGTTTGCGGTCAGACAGCCACAGTTCTTTTTAATAGCAGAGACTCGCCTGAAACTGGTCTGCTCATTTAAAAGATCTCCTTGACAATGGCCCAGTTAATTCCCAGTCATAGTGTCCTTCAAAAATGTTTAAAAGATCTCCTTCAAAAAGTTTTCAAGCAAAGTTCTGCTGATAAAATCAATCGACGTTTTTGCGGCCAATCAGACCGGCAAAAAAGTTGTTATACAACCAGATATTTTTGGCAAAACATCGGCATCATGTTTGTCACCCATTTTTTTGGCAAATCTCTCGCTTTTTTGCAAATTTGATACAAAAATTTTAAGAAAATTCTTTTCCTTGGCCAGCTGTAACTAAGCATAGCCTTTCATAGCTCATAAATTTCATCTCACAGCTCATATGAAAATTTTCAAGTTCAGGTCAACTTTTTGCTCAAATTTGTCCAAAATATGATAAGGCTTTGATTTTAACAATTTTACCTCCTACAATTAAGAATTGTAAATTTCGGATTCGAAGACTATAAATCCTTTAGTGAAAAATGGTAGCAGGAAGTATCTTGCAGAAAGTCAACTTAGTAGCTTCAGGAAGAGAATAGCTTCCGATTTAAATTTTTACATTCGAAAGATTTCTTTTTTGGAACCTTTTTCAATTCGCGTATTCCCTGCTCGTATGTATTTCCCTTGGTCCAAGTATATTAACCGTACGAAATCTTACCGAATAAAGCAGTATTCATTCTATGATTCTGTTTATGTGGAAGCTGCATTTTAATTTCTATTTACTTTCAAGGCTTTTTGTCAACTGGAGGCTAAGACATGGCATTGAGCCACAGTTTTCTGCATTCCTGAAAGGTTTCAACGAAATCGTACCTCAGCATCTTCTCAAAGTCTTTGACGAGAGAGAGCTTGAGGTATTTATTCTGAATACGCTCTTATACTTAGTTAATAGTAATCAGAAGAAGCATTTACTGTTTTGAAATCTTTGAATCTTATCCAGTTTTGCTTAAATGCATGTTTTCGTTCAATGAGTCAAATTTTATTAATGCTAAAAATGTAAAATCTTTGCATGTAGAATAATGAAACGATAGGGAAAGAAGTTGTCTGATAAAAGTACAAATTATAATTTTAATCAAAATTTTCATTTGAATGTTCTATATATCCATTGAAACCTACTCATCCGAGCCTCGTAGGGATGTATCCCTCGTTCTGACCAGCGCTTGGAGATATCTGTTATTAACAATATCCCTTTAAAATATATTTTACTGTATTCGACTGTTGTCAATACAAACAGCTTTTTGTACGAGAGTAAGTTATATGGGCTTGCCTTTCTTTGGAATACATTTACTACTGCTCGCAAACAATACACCATTTCGACTTACGGCCTCATTTTGAAAAAAAAATTTGTACAAACTTTTTTACCTCAGATTCGGATTGACAGCAATAATTTTAGTCTACTTGTAAGTTTTCATTATGATATTGCTCACGATATTGATTTTATGACGACATAAAGATAAAAACTTTATAAGGAATTTGACGGTGATTGGCGACTAGGGGGATAAAGTTTTCCCCCGAAACGATTTTTGCGGTCAAATCCCTTACAAGTTTTCAAACTTCATTTCTCGGTAAAATCTAAAATACAAGCTCAAACAATATGAAAGATGGTATCCCGCCTAAAATTATGACGATAAAACCAAATCTGAGCTTAAAAAAGTCGTATAATTAAGTTTGGAGAAATTTCCAAAACAAGGTCGTAAGTCGAATTGGTGTACTTCTTTTTTGGTTTTTTCCTTTTACGTTGAACTATTATCCTTTCAGCTCTTAATATGTGGCTTGGGTAAAATCGATCTGAATGACTGGAAAACACATACAAGGCTGAAGCACTGTACAGTTGACCACCCAGTTATCAAGTGGTTTTGGAAGGTGAGTGCATCAACTCTTTCTTAAGCAGCGCCTTCGTTGCGGTAGCTAAGACATCATGGGTCACAACCACTGATCTCTATAAAAGACTGGATCGAGGTTTTGCCGTTTCAGACTGAGGCCAATGTTGCTTGTCCGCGTGGGACCCACCGTAGAGTGTGGGCCTACCTAAGATTACAAATAACCATGTCCAAGTTAAGTTATTGGATAAATTTAGTTTGAAAAAAAACCAGAATTGTAACATTAGAAATTTCCCAACGTTCGATGTGATCAAAGACGTTAACTGTCGTGCTATACGCTGCGTCCAATGGCCCTAACAGTCGATGCGCTGTTTGTTTTGCTTTACTGAAACGCTGGTCAATTGGAGATAGAGGTAGGTAGTTTGTGAAAAGTACTGTTTGACATTGGGTACCCCGTTTAACACTCAGATCGGTTCCTTTCGGTGTTTCGCGGTGAACGGTGGGTCCCACAATTCTAGCGCCTAATCAAGTTTGGCCGGCCTCGGTTCTCATGTGGGTCAAACAATAAGAAGCTCGATCCAGTCTTTTATAGTGATCAGTGGTCACAACCAGCTAATTATTGAGGTAGCTGTGCAGCTTTAACTGGACGCGCTTTTATAGTTTAACCGATTCTATGCAAATTGACCTCTCCGGTTTGAGGAATAATTGCCAACCTACTAGTTGCCACATTCTTAAGCAATCAGAGAAAAATGGTTAACAAGTTCTTGATTTCCTTTGCATTTTTGCCAAATGCTAAATTTTTCAGCAATCTACATACGTCATTTAATAAACAATATAATAACATTCAATGATACAACGAGTAAGAAGTTCCAGTCAGTAGAAAACACCTCTCTTTACATGTTAATTGTCTCTTTTGGCCTAAAATATTTTTTCACCTTGATTGACTCAAAAACAATTTTTCCATTTCATTTCAAACTAATATTAAGGAACGAAAGAGTTTCAGTCATGGTGTAAATTTCAATAAAATGTAACTTAACGTTCCTCGTTACTAAATTTTCCCTTGTTAATATTGGCTGGATTTTGCTTTGCAATCTTACCAGGAGGAGCAAGTAGACTTTTGCAAGCATCACTCAACTGGGGTTAACATGTTGCAAGCACCACTTACATTCAATTACAAATTACTTTAGTTCTATTTAATAAGAGTAGGTTCAACAAGTTTTACATGCTTCACCTCCAATGCAAAATTTCGCGATTCTCTGTTATTTTGCTACCATTAGAGCTTATTCTTTTTCCCCGTGGCCTTAAAGTTTTCTTTTTGGGATGTCTCTGGAAAATCTCTTGTTTCAGTGACCTCTCTTAAATTAGATTTTCAAAATTTATTAAAACATTCACGTCCTGAAGATATACGAAAATATTTTCATTTTCACAGTTGCATTTTTAAGTCATTGACTTAGGCTGTACAGATCATACTCCTTTTGAGCTTAGCATCTTGTGTTTTCTCGCCCATGCTTACTAGAAAAGCGAGCAAATTTGTAAGCCGTGGCCTTGTCATAGATCTAGCGCCGCCCACTTTTTGTATCTGCTATGAAAAAGGTTCCATCTTCTTAGACATGCTTTGTGCCAACAAAATAGATAAGACCCTTATTATTTAATCTGTCGTGTTATTCGTCTGGAGCGCTGTTGAAATGTGATTATGTTGACCATAATCTATTATAATTGCAATTGAAAAGCTGTGCCAATCCGGTAAAGACGACATCCTCTAGCGTCGCTGTTTTTAAGAAACTTGTTTTGTTTTATTAACTGGAATAGCCCAATGCTGAATTTCCAATTATATCTGCTTGCACAGTTGCACAGTCGGATTCTATACGCTTATAAGCATACGTTTTACCTGGTCAAAATATGTTAGGTACAAAGTTTATCGTGGAGGGTATGACTCATTCTATGATAATTGCAAGCTGCACCTCCTTATCATCCAAACACCTTCTGTTCTTTAAACCCTCCCGTTTCATCTTTCAGAATTTTTACTCAAATCTCCTCGAAATTCTAGATTATTCCCCGGCAGGCTAGCTGAAGATAGAGAATGAGGGTTGTTTTGTTTGCCAAAATCTTATGATGTATTAAAATGTATAAAATAACGCTGTTCGTGTCATTTCCTACATCAAATCTTAGCAAAAAGCAAAAATTTCATTCATTCGGAGCGATTAACCAGGAACAGTTAAATTGTTACAGCTTGTTGTAAGAGGATTACTGCCATCGATCATCAACATAGTCCGTCGAAGGTTTTTTCAACTGTAGAATATGAATTGGTCTGCATGTATCAGCTGCAAGAGAGAATTTTGGGTTATTCGCGACCTCTCGTCTAGAACATGGTTTCAAAGCTCGTAAATCCAGGCGCCATTTTGAAGACCGTAGATGCTAATTGTAATTAATTTGTGGTTTAGGAAGCCATTTTCGGTGTTTTATTCGCAGTTAAGTAGCCGATTATTTGCTGCTGTCCTGTTTTGATGGAGCGACTCAATTCCATGTCTGTTACTTAGTCACCTTTGTCATCTTTTTTAAAATTCGCGTCGGAGAATCTTTCAGTAAAGTTTAAAATTAAAAACGTTGAATTTGCAGAAATGGTTGGGAAAATTTTAAGTTTAATCTATAGCCTAAACATTGACGGCTGTCACTGGTGCTTAATTATCATTTAGTTTTGGGAGACACAATTAACTGCACCGATCGATGTTGGGACATTAACGGTGACCTTCCTCCTTTTCTTAAAACTGTGGCTGTAATGAAAATCAATTTATGGCAACTGCAAAATTACAGCTTGATGTTGAGTAGACAGCTAGATTCTGAGTACTGCAGTTTCTCGATGCTATGGTTATTTTGTGTGCTCGTTGTTTCATTAGAGTTTCTTAATTTAATGGTGTTTGTGTAACAACTTGGGTCCTATGTGTAAGATTTCGTGCTAGGGAACGCTTTTGTTTTTATTCAAGTGTATTTTTATTTTACACGAAAGATAAGACTTGTTGTGAAGCTTTTGTGATGATTCGAAGAATTCTATTTGCTTTGCGTCTAAAGTTTTATGCCAACCAGACAACAACATTGATGGACAATCATAAAATTTGTGGTTTCGCAGGGTGGTTTTGAAACTGTTTTGCCTCGAGTTCTGAATTTTCGCATTTTATCTGAATGTCCAGTATTGGTTTCTAATATCAAGTTTCTTATATGAAAATTACTGTATTTTTCATTCCCTTGCCTTGCTTTCGCTTCCATTTCCCTCCCTTCTCTTCCCTTGCCATATTTGTTGAAAGTAGCTGCTTGTTTTACGATATCGTCGTTCATTTAATAGACCGAAAATTAATTAAAGGCCCAATTTATGCAAAACTACTAACAGCCCGTTTTATTCCTTCTATTCCATGTCTCAAGTACAAGTTGGTTGGCGACAGATTTTCTGTTGATTGTCTTTCAGCTAATTGTACGAAGAATTTCTGTTGCTTTGTGATAATCTTTCTTGATGAGGCAAGCGGTGTTTTCTTGTGATAACAGTTCATAGACATGTGCACACTTCCCAGCCGCGAGCACTTAAAATTTTCTTAAGTATTTTATCCACAATTTGAGCCTCGTCACCTGTCTTTAGTCTGTCATTTCAAAGAAAACAGACAGTTAAATTTTGTTATAGTCTCCTTTCAGTTCAGACTGGAATCAGAGAGACAGCATGCTTTCAGTTTTACAAATTTCCACGATTGTTGTCAAATTTTTTCTTCAAATAACCAGCGGATTTTGCGATATTTCACGATAAAGACTGTTTCTCTGGCGCCATCTTGTGTTATGCATGATATCGATACGGGATAACCGATTGCTTCTGTCTATGCGATTGATTAAATTAAGCACTTTATAAGCGCGTGTGGTGTTCGTTTTGAATGCCTCACGCCAGCTCTTCTGAAAATGCATGCATGATAGACCTAATCTTGTTAATATGCGAACGTTACTTCTGTCTTTTCTCTGTAATTGAAATGAGCAAATGCCAAGAAAAAATATACCTGGCTTTCTGAATGTTCAACCTGTAAATAGTTTGACAGTGTTGACTCATAATGACTCAGATCTTTGATTAAGGTTGCTTTTACTCATTAAATCGTTGCAAAGATTATCCCTGACAACAGATTGTCGTAATTTTTCTGTGAAGTAACATTTACGTTCTATAAACTTTAAAATTCTTCTGCAAAAAAAGTTCATTTTATTGGCAACGACAATATTACTTGATAATAGATAGTATCATTTCGTAGCGACTTCGATACTTGATGTTCTGAGGAGTGTCAGACGAAAAAGCTTTTAGTTGATATGTTGTAAAATGTTTGCTTTTTTCAAAGCCATTTTCAAGTTCTATACCGCCAAAAAAGTGGCGTGGATGTTATGATGTTTAGCAGCCATTTTAATATTATCTCTGGTTTTCTTGCAAATAATGTCTGTCGGTTTAAGGAACGTGATCAAGTTGTATTCAGTATTTAAAATAACACAGCACATGTTTCCGCCGTAAAATGCATAGGATAAAGATGTTTAAAGCGCTTTTCAGCGTCAGTGATTTTTAAATATGACCTCGTTATGCGAATATAACGTTAAATATAAGTGTTGTTTTTGCAGGTTGTTGATTCATACGACGAAGAGAAAAGAGCTCGTCTATTACAGTTCGTCACAGGGTCATCCAGGGTTCCTGTTCAAGGATTCAAAGCTTTGCAGGGTATGTGATACATTACTGCCCACTTTTCATCATAACCTGTAGACATGTATTTTCTCATATATTTATTTTTATTTTATCGACCATTCCTCTGACTGCTCGTGATATTCAATTTTTGCCCAGTGCTCAAGTAGGTAGGGTCAGGAGATGATTTCTTTAGTTTGCTCCGTTCTTGAAAGTAAATGAAATTTCAATGAAATGCTTTCATTTTTCTGTCCTTGTTCTCAAACATTATTGGGTAGTTTCTTCCTCTCTTACATTCTTCCTCTCCACCTTTTTCTTCTCTTCTTTTTCTTCCTTCCTTGTTTCTTTCCTTCTGCTGTTTTTTCCCTTTCTTTTCATTTTCTCCAATTCATTTCTCCCTTTTCAGTGTATAAGATTTATAATAAACCTAAGTCGAGCTGAAGTGCTACGTTTATGCTTGAAATTTCGTAACCAAAGAAATATGTGGATTGCAAATGTGCTCTAATACTTCCAGGTTCAACTGGATCAAACGGACCACGGCTGTTTACTATCAACGTGACTGAAACGAATCCTAATAGTTTGCCCAAGGCACACACATGGTAAGTGGACAACATATATAGTTGTTTTGAAAAATTACTGTTTGCCATTTTGGTATAAAGTGATGCTGGCAGAGCTGTACACGGTTTGGTGAGATTCTTCTTCAGCGGGGCCTCTGTTGTATTTGTTCTCCCGCTATTTGACAGGAGTTAATTTGTTTTGTTACTTCCATCCAAGGATTTAGCTATATATATGCATCTTGTATTTTCATACATTGAACGGATGGAGAACCAAGCCTTGGCAACGCCTTTGGCAAGCATCAAAATATACATCCAAAAGGTCCTTTTAAGAAACACTGTTTTCTAGCATCCTACAAAAATAATTTTAGAATGCATATCCATTTTTATAACTCTAATTTTTTTGCTGTCAGTTAAAATAGACAGAATGCTTAAGAAATAGATCCAATTGCTATTACATATTTTGGAATGTATTTGCTACGGACAGTTGTGTAGGTAGTTTTTGGTTCTCATTTCAAGTAAAAGTTCATCACGGAAAAAAATAATTTTACTTCATCTGCTATTTCCTCTTAAAAACATTTAGCTACACTTGATTCTGTCCAGTCGTGTGTCTGTAAGTTAAGAGGTCAAATTTTGGCTTATTTTAAATTGGGTAATTTAAAGAGTTAGTGATAGTCACATTCTTTGCAAAATCGACTCGAAAAATGGCTAGATTTTGCTGAGCTCTATTGTCACGATGTGTTGTTTTTTCTTTCAGCTTCAATCGTCTGGATTTACCAACCTACGAATCGTTCGAGAAGCTACACGACAAGCTGACCCAGGCTGTCGAGGAGACCTGTGGATTTAACATCGAGTGAGAGTCCACTTTTGATGTATATCTCGCAAAGGGTGCTCAAAATACGTATCATTGAACCCCGATTATCAATGACGTCGAAACTGGCCGTTGTGTTCTTTCTGATCACAGAGTCATATTGCTCTAGCTCTGCTGTCAACCTTGCAGAGTTGTTGCGAAGGAGCAAAACTAATGACTGCGGAAGAGTTCACCTGGAATAGAGGCTTGACACAAATGACATTGTGACAAATACTTATTTGTACCTTGAAAACGGTGTGACTGTTATTGGTGGTAGTTACCAAAAACCTCTCCCCTGAAAGTCTACTCTTATGCTCAAGCTTGGCACATACATTCTTGTATATTGGAATTGGAAATTGTGCTGAGCGGTGTCAAAAAGTCGAGATCATGGTATTTCTACATCCGGTTCTCGGCTGCCCATCCAGCAAAAGCTATTTAACCTTCAAAAGAAGAAAACTTATGATAAACCCGGTTGGATTTTCAGCAAACAGTATCATAGCTTTGTTTCACCAGCATTTTATATTGCTACTAGCGCACAAAAATGCTGCTTAGTGGAGCGTGTATTTGGAAGATATCTTTGGTCTAATCTCAAGATCTTTGTTGACTCCTCTTAGGAGAGGCAATCTTGGCAGCTTCCCCAAATAGTCACGGCCGATAAATTCTGGTTTTCTAAATACTTAAAATTGAAAAGTTATAGCTCAGTAATTAGATAATCATTCTTGTTCATGCAGTCACCTCGTTCTCTCAAAAGGCGTTATTTATTTTTTTGAAGTGAAAATATTTTAGTGATCGTGTACACCTGTTCATAGTGCGAGCCAAAAGTCTCTAAAAGTCACTGGGTAGGAATAAGGTCCAAGGTAGCAGTGACCAAAGGACTTCAGCGGGACTTATTGAATTGGCAGTAACTTAAGTGTCATTGTAGACGTAATTTGTTCCTGGCTTTTCCTTTTTCTTCACAATTAAAAATATACCTAGGCTTTTTGGTGTGGAGTCACAAACGATCAAACAAGTTTGAGGAAGAAATTTTTCTTCTATGAAAAGTTTGCGCTGATTGAGAATTAAGAACTCATATATTCTATTCAACACATCTCATATTTTATTTATCAACATGTGAAACTGCGGGTTAACATATACACCTCCACAGTGGATGAATTTTAGTAAGGCGTTTTGGCTTTTTTAAATTGGAAAAAACTTCAAGTTGTTTATAGTTTGCAGTTCTTTAAATGAAAGCCCTCTGAAACACATTGAGTAAAATTTTGCGTGAACGAGGTTTTTTAAATCAACTGTATCGTGTATTATACGAATTTAGTATCTTAGTTTGGTAGATATATTATTTTATAGTTTTAATATTGACCAGGTCTGGCTGTCTATCAGCTGTCCTCGACTATTGATCGATAGTACGCCTAATTGTATCCCTCTCTATTACCTAGGCAACCCCATGTCTTTTTTTGGAACCGTCACCCCAACCATATCAGAGCAATTGCTACTTGAATTCGATCTGGTGAATGAAAACTTTGAAAAATGTTTAGTTCCTTTTTGCCACAAATAAACGAACGGCAACCGTCAGTGTTTTCCCTCGCCAGTGTTTGCCTTACTCTAAGCCTTGTCCCACTCCTTGAAATTTTACCTCTAGGTGAGACTGCTTATACACAATAGAACGCTTATTCTTGAAGTTATCTATTTTTTCTGGACTTAATTTCCACGCTGTTTTATTTATGTTGACACATGGAAACAAGGCCTTTGATCTGATTATAACTCAGCACTTTTTAGTTGCGCTAAAAAACTTGTCTTTGCATATCATTAAATTAAAGCCAAGCAAGAAGCTTACAATTGTTTGGCCCCTCTGTTTTATACACCTACAGTCAAAAATTCCCCTGTTCTGCTTACCATTACAAGAAGCAGACATTGGACAAAAGTTCAGGTCTTCAAAATCAAATCGAGCTCAGAATCTTCGATCAAAGGCCTTAACTTTTTGTGCCTCCTGTCTTGAAGTCCTGTATAACCATACATGTTTTCATAGCTTTGTAAATAAATTTATTGTAGATTTGCCTCAGATCTTATGTTTTCTATAATACGCCAATTGATACCAAAATGGAAAAATTCTCAAAATTAAATTGCCAGTTTGGGTCTTTCATTCTTGTTTTTCTTTCTGGAAGTTTTAAGTTGGCTGCGTGCAGTTTGAGTTCAATTGGCCATTATTTCTCAAGTATTCCTATTTTAAAGCATTGTTTGTATAGTTGCGCAACAGATCCCAGGGGAAGGTAAAATCGTGCGTATTCGCATTTAACCGTTTGGAGGAATGCCCCATGGAATTTGTTTTTTCCAATTGGGAAATACTATGATGGCAAAAAGCATTGGAGAAAAGTCCACTTGGGACGAAGCTTCATTATTGCAAAATTTAAAAATTTGAACCTTGCGATCAACGTGTTGATCGTTTAAATGGTTATATAAAATAGCTTGTATGAAAAACTGTTGCAGCTAAAAGGAGTATTGTGCCTAAGCCAACGTTTTATGGTTGATAGAAAAATGGTCCTGGCGGTGCTGAATTTTCTAAAAAAGCTTTTAAGTAAACAAGGTGTTATAGAAAGAAATCAGATTGACGCGGATGGACATTGATGTAGTTGACTTCATTTACGATTTGAGTTATGGCGACAAGATTCTACTCAACAGTGGGATTTCGCAGTAGCCATGATTGACGATGAGAGACGCCCTCGATCAAGTTGAAGAAGTTCAAAGTAAGGGCAACGACAAACGCAGCATATTCGCAGGAAGCAAATTCTGGTGAGTTTCTGCCTTCATTTTCGGAATGTTTTAGTTAAAAGGTCATTACAACGCACAAATACAACGGTGCAAATTGTTTCACATTTGAATTCGAAGAACATTTAGATAACGGATCACCCAGACTACTTCATGAACTTTATGATTCTATTTGTCCCACTAACTCCTTGATAAGAGCCAAACACGTCTAACGTCTACCTTTAAGTGCCTAGAAACATTAAAATCTAGACTGCTCTTTGCCTATCCCGTTTAAACAACAATTTCAAAAGTTAAAGCATATTAAATTGTTCAGGAACGAAAAACAATAGAGGGGAAAGTTATACTAAGCGGCGAGCATAAAAATTTGACTCATTTCTTGATTTGGACAACAAATAAGAATGAAAAAATAAAGATAGGCGTTATTATACGTATTTTGCGATGAAGAAACATACTTTCAGAATGTTAAGAAAACGAAGCTCAGATTTGAAGTTATTACATGATAATTCACTAGTTAGAGAATACAGGGAAGCTTAGTGAGTGAAACGAGCAATACCAAAAGTATCACTGTTTTAATACGTTCGTATTGCCTTAATACTTAATCTATATTATGATAGCATAGTAAGAGTATCATTTCTGTCATCAAATTTATAGGGGAAGTAAACAAATAATATGAGCTAAGAATTGGCCTAAATTACAAGTCGATTTGCAGAAGTTCTATTAAACAATATGACCTTAAATAAAAACTACCAACGGCAGTATCAAAAATATGAAAATATAAAATATTTTTGAAACTGCCATTGGTAGTTTTTAATTATTATTTAACACGCTAGGAAATGACGAATTGGTGGCTCTGGTCGTATACTTATTCTATTTGTCGACATTCGTAGCCAGTGCACTTATCCTGGGCAATTGCCAATTTACATCAGTTATATTTCAGAACAAGACAGTCCCGGTGTGATATCCAGAAATCAGTTTCCTGTGAAATTCTTGCATACAAATTAACATCGTTAATATCAACTTCTCCATTTGATAACATGACCAACTTCCCATCTTCTAGTTTGTCCCGTGAACTGATGGTATGATTGCCCCGTGTCTACAAAATTCTCTAGATGGCTGTTTACTACCTTGTACCTTTGATATCAGATTTTTCGTTGACCTTGTTTTGCGTCGCAGGCGTTTTGGTTCCCGTTAAATCCATAACTGTGTTTGCTGTTTCAGGCTCGGGCCTGCTAGTAGCATTGACAAAAGTTTTTTCTATATTCTGTTCACTTGTCTTTGTCACAACTTCTTGCATCTCATTTAAAGTTTTTATTTCACGAGATTTTATCCGGTTCCTATCGTCTTTTTCAGCGGCTGCTTGGTCCTTGTTTTCGCGAACCAAAGCAGCTTCGTTCAACGATTTTATCTTATCGTCTCCCTTGCTTGTGGCTTTAGGCTGAGAAATTGTCACTGGCAAAGATGTTTCTAGGACCGTGTCTTTTCTACCACCATCCTCTACCTCCTCTGGAACTATTTTTGCATTTTGTTTGAAAGGTTCTTCTTGCTTTGCAATTTCAAGTTTAGATTCTTCTATTTTCTTTGGATCGTTCTCTAATTCAATCATCTTCACCTTCTTTTTATCCTCTTCTCGCTGCTCAACGTCGACATCCGGTATCTTTCCTCCTTTCTCTCCAGCAGCTTCCTTCCCTCTATCAATATTCCCAGACTCTTTATCAGGGCCTTTGATATCAATGTTCCCTGGCATTTGGAAAGGCTTCGCAAGTTTGGCAACCATATTTGCATCAGGTGGGCTATTTTCATGTCCTGGGTGTTCTTTGTGCTCTGTATCCATGTGTGTATCGTTCGCAGACAGAACTGCCAAAGTACTGGCAACCAAGCAAATCACGCCAACAACAAATATTACCTATAAAAAACCCAACACGAATCATCAACTGCTTAAGCACATATACTTATCTTTTGGTGGTACAAAACTTGTAAATGGCTTTGAAAAAAGCAAACATTTAGTAAACTAAAGCTTTTCGTCTGACACTCTTCAGAGTTTAAAACGTCAGAACATAGATCGAAAACTCTACGCTAGGAAATATATATACCCAGTTGTGGATCGAAATAGGCCAATTAGAAAACACGAGCACATGACTGTATATGACTCTGAAGAGTGTCAGACGAAAAGCTTTAGTTTACTACACATATACTTAGTTATTACTGTCACATAAGTTTTGGTGCAGGCCTTGGACGCAATTCATCACTTTAATAATTTCAATTTTTCAATTTCATTTTGCTTTTTCCTGTCTAAACAATGCTTAATAGCATAAAGTCATGATACGATATCAGTCCTTGCATCTTTCATGTCCTGGGAATACATGAGAAAATTTGCACCAGAATTAAGAGCGTGCGTCTTAAATACGAAAAGAAAAGAGAAACAAAAAATGCGGTCATAAAATCTGAGAAATCAAAAAAGAAAATTATCAATATATATTGTGTAAAAAGCTACAAAATAGCCTACTGTACATAAGTCGTTCATAAAGACACAGAAGTTTTGTAATTTTTAATAATAAATGGGCTCGATTCATATGCTGCACTCTCTATTAATTAACACATATGCAGCAAATACGTGAGTAAGCTTAACTTTTCAGGGTTCTGTAAAATAGCAATGCAGTCCACATTGACTGATAAAGACAACAATAGTGGATATGGGTTGATAAAGAGGAGCTAAGACCCCGTTTACACTGTCCCGGGACAATTTTGTACCGTTACGGTTCGCAAGTGTTTACACTGTCGCGGTTCCAAATTGTTCCGTTTAGCCGTTACGTTTACACTGTACCGGTACGACCTTAATTTAATGGTAGAACATTGTTTAGAAGAAGCTGTATTTTTTCAACCAAGGCTTTTATTTTGCCGCCGAAGTCAACAATCGAATTTTTATTAAGAGATAAAATGGAGAAGAAGGCCGATAAAAACTTCCCTTGGACGAACGAAAAGGTGGCTTTAATTTTCAGTGTTATTTTAGACTACAAAACTGCAAAGTCCAATCAAGGCTTGAACTTGGAAACAATACAAGCCTTTTCTGTGGTCGTCTTTTCTTCAGAATTTGACAACGTAGTTACGCCACAATCAAAGCCTCGATTACCTGAAACAGCCATACAAAAGACCTCTTTGTGAATCCGTGACAAAATCGTCTCGGATAGGTGTTTACACTGTCCCGTTCAAAAACGGAACCGTGACGGTACAAAATTCGTTCGCTTTCAAAGCAGGGTCAAAACTGTTCCGGATAGCAGAGCAAAATCGTCACGGTTCCACAGTGCTAGTGTAAACGGAAGGGCGAACCGCGACAGTTTTGTCACGGTTCCAAACTTGCACGGGACAGTGTAAACAGGGTCTAAGTCACTTACCTTTGCAGTTAAGCGGGAACTATTTTCCTTAGATGTTGACAATATGTAAAGTGCAGCGGGAAATACGAAGCACAGGAATGTTCCAATGACTGCTCCAGTTATTGATAAAACTGTCTCAACTAGAAAATACAATAGATTGCGGTCACTATTTATTGAAAACAAATATGTTTTAATAAGTAACTAAAAGGAAAAGGGTTCTTTGCCTTGGCCTAACAAAAGTAGTCCTAAAAATTATTATATACCCTGCTTTTTATAAATAACCTAATAAACTAATTAGTAGTTATTATTTGATGCATGAAATGGCAGAGCATGAAATGACAAATTCTCATATGATATTTGACATCAAAATAACACTTGGTTTTTATAATGAATACGGGCTTTTATTTTTCAAAACTACATTTCACAGTACCCTAGTCTCAGTTTGTTCTGAATTATTGACAAATATTGTGGCCCGGTTATCTTGTTAAACTGTGAGTTATAATAGCATGAAAATAGCCTGTTTTTTTTCACTAAAACGCAGACAACTTTACTCAATTTATATATTTGCATGTTCTTCCACAACTTTACATTTATTCTATTTCAGTGAAAATTTTGAAACAAATATTCGCTATTCGCACTATCCTGAAAATGTATCTTCGATTTTCCCAAAATCATCTACTTTCTATGAAATGCAGTTGGTATCCTGTTTCTTTTCAATTTATTATCCTTCCAAAAGTTTTTTAACTGACTCCATAATGGATTAACATAAATTCTGTATTAATTGTGTATATCGAAATATGCCAATGCTGTCTTTGTTCAACAGGCAATTCGCCGAACTTGGTAAAATAAGCTTGCTTTAAATTGATTTGGTAGACTTCTTTAGAAGAACCAGATATTTTCTGCCGAGGCTCAAACAGATATTTTCTGCCGAGGCTCAAACAGATATTTTCTGTCGAAGCTCAAACAGATATTTTCTGTCGAAGCTCAAACAGATACTTTCTGCCGAGGCTCAAACAGATATTTTCTGCCGAGGCTCAAACAGATATTTTTGCCGAGGCTCAAACAGATATTTTCTGCCGAGGCTCAAACATATATTTTCTGCTGAGGCTCAAACAGATATTTTCTGCCGAGGCTCAATCTTCTTTTTATGGAAAACTTGAGCTTCGAGGTTCTCAATTTTGTTCTATTTGTATTGATTTTTCTACAATTTTCAATTTTTTCTAAATACACTAAATATCAGTCACATTGCAATTCTAGAAGCGCGATTATTGACCAGCTGATAAAATCTGCTAAAATAATAGAGTACTTTTTTTAAAAAAAAACTCTTTTTTCCTTAATTCTAAATCGAAATGTTGTCATTATTGAAGTTGTTCTTATTTCACTAACTGGGAATTTTTCGGTGTTCTTATAAAATGTATGTTTTTAAAAATTGTGATTTCTGGGTTCTTGAATGTCCATTGCTTTATAGCTTTCTGTTTTTGTTAAAAAGAAAAACTATGTCAGAAGTGGGATTCGAACCCACGCCCACAATCGTGGACCAGAATCCTCAAACTCTGAGGAAGATTGATCTTGAGTCTGGCGCCTTAGACCGCTCGGCCATCCTGACATGTCATCTAGAGACGCACCAGTAGGAAGTTTCCCTGTGCCCGATATGCTGATGGAACAGCCTACTGGTTTTTGGAGACAGGGTGGCAGAACGACAGGGGGGTTGGGATTAGGGGGGGAGAGTAGGAGGCTCGCTTAAAAATTATTTGATAAAGCATTAAGACAAATGCATTACTGACCAATTTCCATGATCAAGTTTGAATCTGGACAACCAGCAACAAAATAAGGGGAGCATGGAAGGACAACTGACCTTTCTACCTGACAGAATTAGAGACATTGGAACTTCAATAATGGCCATTTATTGGAGTTCAAGGAGCCAGATTTTGAATCACTTAATGATCAGTTGATTCACAAGTATCGTATGGGAACAAATGTTGACATTAAAGGGAATGCAATCCTCTCTAATCTGGTACACTTTAAATAGAATAATAGATACTCTTCTTACAACGGACTATATTTACTGTATTTCTCCAATAACTGTAGCAGCAATAAATCCCATCTATTATTTTTCCATAAATTGCAGTTTTAGTTGTGATCCAAATAAAATTTCATACAAACTGGGAAAAACTCATCTACACCATTAACTTTTAGGGCTGACACTTACTGTGTGGAATGAGGATACCAACAATGAGGGTCCCGACAACTATTACCAGAGTTAAAGCAGTGAATTTGTCTTGAGGAATGTATCCAGGAGCACTGGCTACCAGCTGCTGCCCATGCTGAAAAAATAAACAAGATATGCCATGAAGAATCTGGTTAAACTTCAAAGGTTGTGATCGATGAATAGAATGAAAGGCTCGTGACCAGAAGACGAAGGAAGGGTCACGTTTGCGATTCTATGCAGGTTTGCCTCTCGTCTATTTAATACGTTTAAAAAGGTAGAGAAAATCAAAGGCAAAGATAAAAAAGAAAGTTGAAGAACACTTATATGATGTCAATATGATCAATCAGCCTTGTCAATTATTTGTTCTCTTGGATGGTCCACGGTCAGGGAGCCACTTGATCTTGAAACCCTCAAGATGTTTTTCAGATCCCTTTAAGGTGAGACGCCGTCCACTACAGTTAGTGAAACAACCTCTCGCGTACTGTGGTATTTTAAAATTTCCATGTTAAGGACATCAGATTTTCAGAGATGTCTCATTCAGAGGGGGGGGGGCGTGTCTCTGGAGCGGGTTGAACGATGACGCAAAAAGTCAACCAACACTGAAGAAATGAACGGCTGATAAAATCTCGCATTGGAGGGGCCCCATGAAAACCAATTGAAGGGCTACCATGTCTACAAAATTGAAACTGAAATGAAGGTTTGCGTTTACACTCACGTTTTTGTTGTTTGCGAAAAGCAGCGAATACAGAGACATGCGAAGTGGGAATATGATCAGAGGGAAACTGATTATCACAGACACCCAGAAACCTGAAAAGGAACAACAAAAACATTCATCTAAACACATTTCAATTATCGATCAAAATAATTCACAACATTTATACTTCACGTCTCTTGTATAGTCAAGAATCGGTAACTCGTTATCGGCTAAATAAACATTGGCAACATTATACATTTGCTAATACACTCTTTTTTATAAGAACAATTTCATAAGATCACGAGCCTCAAAACTAGTCAAAAGGTAAGAACAAATTTAGAACAAGCACAGGCTGAGCTACTGTAAAATGCAATTTTAAACAACGTTTTTTCTCAAAAATGAGGATTTTTTGCCTTGTGTGGTTGTATTTTCGGTGAAAATTCAAATTTGTCGGCAAGTGAAGGTTGTCTGACTCACTTTGTTGGCAAATTAGGCCTGAACACCTCCCTAGCGCAAAAATCTAGCAATCGCACTGCTTACTTGCTAACTCAAAAGTAACTACCATACATGTCCAATCAGTTAGAATTTTAGCGCTCGAAGTTTATAAAACACTTAACAACCCTAATCCTTTTTTCATAAAAGACTATTTTGTACCCAAAACAACAGGTCATAACCTTCGACTCAAAAACCCCCTTGGTACTCCAAAAGCCAGAACTACCAATAATGGTATCAGATCATTAAGTTTTCAAGGGCCTAAAATCTGGAATTCACTCCCGGAATCAATAAAGAACTTGGTTCCTTGAAAACAAGTGCGCATGCTCATTTTGCAGTAAATGAACTGTCCTATGCAATCCTTGAAATTGCTTCATGTTAGTCTTAATTAGTGTATATTCACTATTGTAGAAACTAACATTAAATAATCTACAATACAATACAATAAAATACAATCAATTTAAGAACAAATTAAGAACAATCCAGCCTCAGATTTTCGAAAAAATTAAAAACAATCAGCATGAACATAAATCAACTGGTTCTTATAAAAAGAGTGTAATTCATTTGCTGTAGTACACTCTTTCAATTCAATTTTACCAAGCCTGTAAAGGCAAAGTATTTATTTCATAAAAATTATATGCTTCATCTTTCAGTAACACTTTGATTTTATGCTAAAAATAAATCAGCCAGGATATTACGAAAGAAACGGAGTTAAATCACCTAATTCGAAATCTGGGGCATGCTAAAAGAATTGACAAAGTCAAAAGGTTGATTTTCCACGGGACAAATTTTCTCTGCGCTGCTTGGCTATTGGTTATTGGTATACTCTTTCTGCGAAAAAGTAGAACACTTTCCTATTTTCTTGCATAGTCGCTATGACAGGCACATCGGACCAGGGGGGGGGAGGCTGGGGGGCTTTAGCAAAAATGCCAAATATTAAGTAATAAACTACCAGTAAAACCTCTTTTTATACGGTTTTAGCCCCCCTTTTTTTTAGGCCCCCACTTTTCTCAACGCTCCGCGGTGCCTGTATGAATTCAAAAATCTAAACCCCTAATCAGGCAAAAACTATGACATTTAATCTGGCAAGAGTAGTCGGTCAACTTTCCTTGGTTTTGAAAATAGATAAAGAAGGAACCAATCAAACTGGTCTGCGTACCATCAAGCGGGTGGGGACCGGTTAAGTTTTGCGAAGCACTGGTGGTTTGATTGGGCGAATTTCCCAATTTGCTCTTTTCATTTAAATTTGCTCTCTCAGACATAAGCCCGGCTAGCTCAGTCGGTAGAGCATGAGACTCTTAATCTCAGGGTCGTGGGTTCGAGCCCCACGTTGGGCGATCTTTTGAATTCTGGTTACTCTTCACCTTCATTGTGAAATTCATTCCTGTATACCTGCCACCGCCACCTACTGGCAAGCCTCTGCTCTGACTGGTTAAAATCTAAACACCCGAGGTCTATATATTTCTTGCTATCTATGAAATTTTTACATGCTTTCATTGATAAATACATGATATAATTACAAATAAGGCCACTGATCAATTGGTACAGGGGGTGATACCCTAGACTTTGCGCAGCAAAAAAGCTTATTATTTGGAAATTTTTGGAAGAGTATTTAATATGACTTTGTCCCTACCACTTTGCCCCTACTTGTAACAGAGCTCTTTTCACAGTTAATATGATAACAATGATTTTAGGATTTTTATTCATTTTTTTCTTACCTGTTTTTATTGCATCAGCTAATACACCACTTGGGAAATTGGCAAGTATGTCACCCCTGATTCCACTTTCATAGAAAGCAATATAGCCGAAGATACCAACCTGTTTGTAAAAGAAAAATTATTATGGTCAAAACAATCTTTCATAAGATGAATATATTGGAGGACATCTCTGCACAGTAAACAATTGCAACAGATCTTGATATTTTTAAAAGTTGTTGTGGAACGTGGAACAGTTTAAGCAGTTAATACTTTAGAGAGGCAGTTAATACTTTGGGTAAAGGACTTAGCAACCTTTTATCATAGCTTTTGCCATTCTCCTTGAGACCACAACATTAATATCATACTGCAGCAAGAACGTGAGGGGGCTGCGACCCCCAGCCCCCTGGCTCTGACATTCCTGAGGTAAGGCCCCATTAAGAAGGAAGCAGTGGGGAAAAGATGACAAGACTGTCTAGATAAGGAGCAGATAGATATCAAAAGGGGCTCATCGAATTTGAGAAATGTCAGATGGAAGCAATTAATTAGCATATTTTTATATGCCACATGTCAGATTTATGGCAAAGTTTCATACAAAGAAGCAGGTTGCATACAAAACATAATTTTATCACACCATTTACCAAAATAAGAGTAAAATTCAAATATTTATACATACCGATAAATACATGACAGTAACCATGTGTATTGCTTTGTTGATTATATCCATCATTATGTTCACTGACTGCTCTGGTATTGCTTCATACATCACAAAAACTTGGCTACAAAAAGAAAGCCATCTCTGATATGTAAGATTGACACTGATCTTCTTTGTGTAAATTATTATTGATTAAAGACTAAAATGGGAGCAAATCGAAAAAGTTTAATGCAGCACAACTTCTTCTTCTTCTTAATGTGTCATGTATGATGGTGTTGATAATGATGTTCTTCCAATATTCCCTATATTGACATGTTTTAAAAATTCCATTTTTCATGTTAGCCCATTCTTTGATGTAACTCTATCTGCCTCTTGCTCTTTTCATTTCTAATTTCCCAGTCAGTGATGGAATTTCTATGCCATTTCTCAGCCTGCAGTGTTCTAAAAATGTTTTTGTTAGTCGGTAACAGTTTACAATTAACAATTTTTAGATCTCTCTCATTTGACACATCAGGAAATTTTCAGCCCTCTTCTTGAAAACCATATTTCTGCAGCATCAAAATGATATTTTATAACAGACTAGATATTTCATGTCTCACACCCATGTCTTATGGATGTTTAAACTTAGAACAGACCTTTTTATATTGAAATGCCATAATTTTGAAGTGTTGCCCCTTTTAAATCTTATTGGTTTAACATCAAATTTGGTTGTTATCAGTCATTGACTCTTCTTCCTTCTGGCATAATAATGAGATTCCTTAATCAAACGAACCAAACAAGCCTCACTTTATGAGCTGTTTTGTTAAAAGCTATATGAATAGTTTTTTGACACAGGCAAGTGTCCTGCATGATGTCTTACCTTTGACAGCTAAATGCAAGTGAAATGATTGGTAAGCAATGGAAAAACCCTTCTGGTCTCCAGAAATTAACATGAACTGTCCACAATCCAGAGAAAATATTTTTCAGTGACATGATAAATACCTAAAATTGATTCATAAATCTTAGCTTGATGATATTATGTAGCTTCAATACATAATTGCATTAATAATTGCATTACATAGCTTGAATAAGTATCTTTGGGCTAATAATTTTCACAAATACATCATAGGAAATCACCATTGCATAATATTAATCAACATATATTTCCTGAAACTACATAGCAGGTATCAAGCATAATATGATTCATAGTATCAGACCAAGCACACAGCCTCTTTTTGACAATTATGTAAGACACCACTGTACCAAAAGATGGATTTGTTGTTCAATCTAATATCTTATTTGCTTTGTAGGCTATGGAGGGACTACAACAAAGCTGTACTGGCGTTGAAGGTAAGGAATTCTAAATAATTGCATTGAAATGCAATCTCTATGTAAAATACATCACAATAACTTGAGATACATTTCATAATTCAAATCAATTATTGGACTGGTAGAGTCTCAAATATAATGGTAAAATAAACTTGCTCACCACAAAAATAAAAATACAGTAAAATCCCATAGACATTGCATTCATGTTAGCAAGACTGCTAATATTTCTCATGAGACTCAAGGGTATCACTCCAAGTGACGATAAGCACATTAGCATAGTTCTAAGACTCCATGTTTCCTATGAACAGATACAAGGTTTGAACAAGTTATGAATGCATTAAGATTTATCAAACTAAGCTCATCACTAAGTGAAAACGACCACACAGATACAATTGGATATGAAATGCTACTTGCTGAAATATGCAACTTTTATGGAAATTATTTTACACAACCCCACAAGATTTTTCCCCACTCTCACTGATTTTTGTTTTTTGGAAAACAAAAAGTCAGTATTGTTTTGGAAAAAATTTTGCTCTTTCTAAACGAACTTAAGAACTGTGTTGGAAAACTCAAACATTAAAATATGAATCAGGGACCATGGAGGTAAGGGTTTTTTTCATATGATAAAACCATACGAAAGATCATTTAGTGCATGTTTCCAAATTGTGGATTTATCCCTTGGCTGGAGTCCTCTTAGCACCATCCTTCTCTAAATTCCATGGTCCAAGCTAGTTTAGGCAAGCAAAGGTGAACCAAATGAGAATATGGCAAAAATAATGATATATTTTCTTACTTCAATTCCAAGAGCATTACTGATCAAAGCTGGAGACAAGTCACCAATTACTACTTGAAATGAAATCAATGTGCCAAGCATCAGGCCAATTATTCTGAAAAAAATTAAAATAGGAATAATCTTATCCTGTAATATTTGCAAATAATCAAAGATATAGAAGAAAAACTCCAAGTTAAACCAAAAAAAATAACTGGCTACTGTTGTCCTTATTCTGTGACTGCATAGGAGAAGGTAATAAGGAAAAATTTGCAATGAAAGGATCTGGTGACAGTATAAGCTAAATTTAGGTTCAGTTGATAAAAGTCCTCTTATTTGAAGAAAAGAAAACATTAAGTTTACTGCATGGGGGTTTTGTGTTTCGAAATTTTTGCAACATTTCATTGTTTGTTTATGTCATCAAAATGACACATTTTCATAAGCACTATGTTAAAGGAAATCAAAGAATACATAATTCATTAATAGAAAGGGTTTACTTTGCCAAAAATGTGTTGTTTTGATTCTTACCCTAACTCTGTGACTATTTTACCCAATGGCCCAAGATGATGTTGAGCTGGAAAAAAAATGAATCACACGCTCATAAAAATATTTATCCCTTGAAATATAAATTGCTTCTTTCTATTCAGGTTCCTCTTAGCAAATTGCCACACAATAAGCTCATTCAATAGGCAATAAGAAGAAATCTTTTATTCTTTTTAAATTATCAAGGATTAAATTCCTAGATCTATCTCAATTCCTTGATAAAAAATAATGCTCAAATCACATACTTAGAACTTATTATTTTTTTTAAATAAATAGAATCTAAAATGTTAAAATAGCAAAAAGGTTTACAGTTCCTCAATATAAACATTTTCAAACTTGAAAAGTTCCTCATATTTGCAAATCAAATTCTCACAGAAAGTGTCACAAAATCTAATATATTCTCAGCATTTGAGAGAGAAGAAATAACAGAAGTTAATTAGGAACATAAAGCTGACAAATGTTTAAGAAAGATACTTGAAAGCGAGGTATTTTGTACCAAAGCTGACAATCCTGAAATATCCAAAAAAGTAAAAATATTGGGCTATTTCAAATTTGACAATATTGGGAAAAAACAGTTCATTTTATGTCTTACCTAGTGACTCATAACCACTTTTTCTTGTCAACTGTCCTGCCTTCAATAAATATTCACAAGTCTTTCTTGTCACAACATTTGTTGCTAATATCATCAAAACAGCTATACCTATTCCACACTAGAAATAAAATAATATTTAGCCTGAAAAATGATGAACTGTTAAAAACCTGAAATATATAACGAGTAAATGCGTAGTAGTTACAGGAATGTTTGCATGGAATAGGCCTCCCACATCTACTGTTTTTACACCAAAAAAATTCCATGGGCAAACCTGTTTTAACTAATCATATGCCATGTAAATTGAAGTTCTTCCATTTAACAACTGCAAATTTTGTGGGCAGTTTCAGAATTTTTAACACAGCATTACTCTTACCTAAGGCTCAGGCAACTAGGGGGCCCTGTTTTTTTGCAAAACAAGTAGTTTTAAAGCTGCAGTAAAAGGGGAAAGAAGTCTTGCCTTGCCCCCTACTTTTGCTAGCCTTTTGCCCCCCCCCTCCCCCCTTCACTTTCAAATTTGTGGTGTTAGCCCTGTACTTTGGATGTAGAAGGCAATATAATGCAGGCTAGCTTCCAGGAACAAAGTTTACAAGAACTTGAGAAACAATTTCAAAATTTTCAAGGATTTTAAAAAGCTAGTACTCACATGGCTAAAATGGTAACAGTAAGTGAATCTAAGTTGGTCTTGAAAACCTGATCAAAAGTTTTAACCAACAAAGTAACACTTTCTACATTACCAGGTAATCTTTCTGAGATCAATATGCAATTGGTTTTTAGCAATGTAAAAATAATTTTTTCTGATTCAGCTTGATTTAGCTGTATGTTAAACTTAATATATCATGTGATGAAGCAATAATGTCAGAAGCTGAATTTTTTTAATAAAATCAATAACGTTTATGAGCATCAACTTAAAAGTTATAAATGTGAAATTGTTAACTTACTACATGGAAACAAAACGGTATAGCCAGAACACCAACACCGACGATGGTATTTGCGAAATTCAGAACCCATGTGTTCATCTTCAAATTAGTTATCGTTGCCAATCTGATTGCTCAGGTGAAGCCGGAAACTGCTAGTGTATCTTCTTCTATGAACATGACTTTAAAAAAGAATTAGATAATAGAAAAACTAATTTGTTACCTTCTTCAATATGAATATCGATAGTTCACAAGCATATAAGTATTCAAAATAATAAATTTACCCTTAGGCCCATTTGTTTCCACTTCAATTCAGATTTTGTCTTTCGTGGCAAACCAGCCTCGTTCCTGTTGTCTTGACAAGTTTTTGCATTTTGTTTTGTGAACACTTTGAAGAAAGACAAAACAAAACTAGCATTTTTTCTATAATTCGGTATTTGTTGACAATATTTTTACCAATCCTGAGAAAACAGATTCAAAAACAATCAAGTTAACTCATTCATCTACTGACATTGATTTACTGTTGATGTTTTTTAGGGATGACTCCAAAGTAAAATTCATTCTCGAAAATTTATATATTTTCAGATTTTTTCTAAGCCTTTTACCTTGTTTTTCGAACAAAACTAACTCGTTCGACACGTTGACATTCCGGAGTCGAAGTTAAAATACTTTCGTAAAAATTATTTGTTCAAAGATTCATTTTTGACAAAAATAAACCTAGAGAAATATGTAAGAAGCAATTAAGCCATCTGGCTTAACCAAATAGCAAAAATATGATGTCTCCATGCTGCATTTCAGTAACGATCCCATTTTGAAATTCTTTTTAAAATTTTTCCATAGCTTTTGGCCAAAATTGACCTACCCAGGGAAAAGATTGATATAAAGACAGTCGAGAACTCTAGCTCAATCAATTTATGTTTAAAAGAAATCTACTTGCTGTTGAGCCAAGGTGTGATTCAAAGGTAAAATTCTATTCGAGAATTTCCCTTCTCAAGTCTTTTTTCATTCCACTCATCTAGTTCAACTCATTGACATTTCAATGACGAATAGCTACAAACTATTGATACAATTAAGTCATCGTTTAAAATAAAATACTTCCCAGAAGTCCTTTTGTGTTTTCTTTCTTTATTAGACATTTATCGAAATATATCTGGCTAATTTTCGAGTAATGCCTGAAAACTTTCACTGAAGGAACAATAATTATGTTTGTTGAAAGTGTCATTTTTGGTCACTATCAGCTATTTTCTCAAATCACCTCCTTTTTAAAGAATAAATACCAGAGATTAAGACCCCCTAGGCACTGAAATCATGAATGTGCATGACGGTAATAAAGTGTATAATGTTTTCAACAACTTAGCTGATTTGAATTATAGAATTTGGGAATTTGGCGCCACGACTTGAACAATACAAAAAAATTTTCAAAGACAATGATACTGATAATATTATATTATCTTCTTTTTCTTCTCCTTCTTCTTTTTCTTCTTCCATTTTCAGCTTTTGCCGAGTCGGTGACACAATCTGCTCCAGTCCGCTCGATTCTGAGATAGTCGTTTCGCCTCTCGTCAGTTGGTGTCAGTTCGTCCAAGGTCCTTTTCCATTGTTGCTTGCCACGTGATTCGCTGTCTTCCTAGTCGTCTTTGGCCTTCTGTTGTTCTCCACTCCATCACCTGCTTTGCAATTCTGCTGTTGTGAGTCTCGCCATTAATAAAATTATATGATATACGGTAAAATTTAAGAAACAAGAATCAATCTTTCATACTTTGATTTAGAATTGAGAAATTATGGCATCTTGTGGATACTGTTTTAGTAGCACTGTGGTAGAAAACGCAGTATAATATAATTGGCAAATAAAAAGTATGATAAAATTTTTCTTCTATCAATAATTATGTAAGATTAGAACGGAGAGGTATCAACTAGATAGTTTCAATTATGTAAAAAATATAAAAAACAGTTTATGGACTTGGAAACAAAGTTCTTCTGGGACAAATTTCTTCATTACTTTACTTTATATATTGATGTCAGAATCTTTGAAAAAGATCAAGGCATTGGAGGCTTACGTACTCAAAAAAAAGCAAAGTTTACAATTTTACCTTCATTGAAGTCCGCATCTTTGAAAAGGTAAAGATTTTCTGGGTTTTAAATTCTCATAAAGAAAATAAAGCTATAGGCCTAAGAAATCAACAATTTTTGACAGAACTTGTTTTATTCAAAACCTTTTACTTCACTCTAGATCAATCATTGATAGACAAGAACCTATTTTGCTTTTATTGAAGTCGGTATTCTTGAAAAAAATCAAGGAACTCTTCCCTCCGAAAAAGACAAAGCAACAGCCTTCAAAATGCATATTTTTGAAGAAAAATTGTTTAAAACAATACCATTTTTTATCGTAGATCAATGTTTCAAACATTCAATTATTTCTTGAAAATTAATCTCATCAATATATCAAGGTAATATGCTTACAAAAATCCAATTTTTCCACACAAACGTTTTAGCTCATACCCTTTATTTTTGGCAAAAGATAAACACTTTGTAATAAAAAACCTTGTCTTGTTTTTAATAAGGTCGGTATTGTTGAAAAATCAAGGATTTCTGGATTTTACGTTTTTATCACGAGAAAAGGCTATAGGCTTAGGAAAATCCCCATTTTTCGATGGAAAGTGTAGTTCACAATTGTCTTTATCTGCTCTAAATCAACCTTTTTTAAAAAGCTTTATCTTGCTTTTATTAATGTCGGCATCTTTGAAATATTTAAGGTTTTCTTGATTTACTTCTTAACTAAAAAATAAAGGTTATAGGCTTAAAAGAATGCTCATTTTGCAACAAAAAAGACACTTTATTTCAAAGTCTTATTTTTTCTGCACTAGATCAACCTTATCCTGCTTTCATTGAAGGCAGTACCCTTGAAAGAATCAAGTTTTTGCTGGTTCTGTTTTAATCAAAAAGTAAGTCTATAGGCTTGCAATAACGCTTAAACGAATCAATCATATCTTGCTTTTATTGGTGTCCTTAACTTGCAAACAATCAAAAGTTTCAGGGTTAACGTTTTTATAGAAAATGCAACAATACAGACTTGCCCATTATTCGAGCCAACAAAAATACCAATTTTTTGACCAAAGTTTCTTTAAGCTCAAAACCTTCTTATTCTACACTAGATCAAACTATTCTCCTAATAAAACTCAATTTGCTTTCATTGAGGTTGTTATCCTTTAAAAACTCAAGATATTTTTGTATTATGTTTTTGTTCAAAAAGCAATGTTTTAAGATTACCAAATTTCCATTTTTTTGACAGAAAGTTTTCTACTTCAAAGCATCTGTTATTTAATACAGATAAACTATACATACAAGTAAACCTTATTCCGCATATATTTCAGTTTCTATCTCTGAAAAAATATTGTTTTCACGGAGTTTCATTCTAAGCCAAAATCCAGGCTGTTATTTAAATAGACTTACAACAATGGCTTGAGACGTAAAATCTTTCACTACAAAATGCTCGTTTTCGCATTAAATCAAAACCTTAAACGAGTAAACCTTTCTGGTTTTCATTAAAGTCGGTATCTTTATAAAGTTTCTAGGTTTTCTGGGTTTAGATATTCAGTAAACGTAAGGCTAGAGAGTAATAATAATAATAATTTTTCTTTAGACAAATCTTTACATTAAAAACTCCATTCTTCGCCTCTAGATAAATCTTACAAACGAGAAAAATTGCTTTAATATGATGAGAAAAAATTACAATTGAACTTAGTTTGAAAAAAAACCCTTTTTCTAAATAAGAAGAAGCTTTTTGGGGTGTAGATTTTAAACAAAGAGTTAGGCCATAACCTTAGAAAAAAAATCAAAAACTTTTCTTTCTGTAGAAAAAGAAATTTGTTCCTTTTTCTACATTTTAATCCGTGTAAGTATGACAAAAAAAAACGAAAATTCAACTAGAATTAGAAAAGAAAGCCCTTTTTTTAAAAACAAACGAGTTTTTGGAAGTGTAGACCTTTAATTAAAAAGTACCGCTATAATATTATAAAATTTATTAAAAGCTTTGGAAATCATATTTTTCTTCTTACTTTTCATTTTCTCTAAGTATGACTAGTAAAATCTAGAATAGAAATTATTTAGAAAAAAAAGCTCTGTTTTCAAAAAAATAAACAGTTTCTTGAGGAGTAGAGTTTTGGTAAAAAGTAAGGAATAAAGCCTCAGAAAATCCCTAAAACTTTTAAAGATTTATATCTTCAGTTTACTAGTTAGTTCATTAATGTGTGATTGAAATTTACTGAAAATAATTACGAGTTATTAGAGGTGCGAAGCTGTGACCAAAAGGTAAGACTATAGCAATAGACAAATCATCAAAAATTGTGGAACTTAGTTTCTTCTTTTTACTTTTTATTTCGTTTAGGTATGATTAAATACTACCAGAATTGAACTTAGTTTGGAAAAATAAGCCCTTTTTTCAAAAGAATTACTAGTTTTTTTAAGTTCATTGCTTTGCCAGAAAAGTAAGATTATAGCCTTGGAAAAATAATCAAAAATTGTGGAAATTAGTTTCTTTTTTTTACTTTATATTTCGTTTAGGTATGATTAGATACTACTAGAATTGAACTTAGTTTGGAAAAGTAAGTCCTTCTTTAAAAATAATTACCAGTTTTTTTTAGTTCATTGTTTTGCCAAAAAAGTAAGGTTATAGCCTTGGAAAAATCATCAAAAATTGCTGAAATGAGTTTCTTCTTTTTGCTTTATATTTCGTTTAGGTATGATTAGATACTACTAGAATTGAACTTAGTTTGGAAAAGTAAGCCTTTTTTTCAAAATAATTACCAGTTTTTTTAAGTTCATTGCTTTGCCAAGAAAGTAAGGTTATAGCCTTGGAAAAATCATCAGAAATTGTAGAAATGAGTTTCTTCTTTTTACTTTTAATTTCGTTTAGGTATGATTAGATACTACTAGAATTGAACTTAGTTTGGAAAAGTAAGCCCTTTTTTCAAAATAATTACCAGTTTTTTTAGTTCATTGCTTTGCCAAAAAAGTAAGGTTATAGCCTTGGAAAAATCATCAGAAATTGTAGAAATGAGTTTCTTCTTTTTACTTTTTATTTCTTTTTGGTATGATTAGATACTACTAGAATTGAACTTAGTTTGGAAAAGTAAGCCTTTTTCTCAAAATAATTACCAGTTTTTCTAAGTTCATTGCTTTGCCAAAAAAGTAAGGTTATAGCCTTGGAAAAATCATCAGAAATTGTAGAAATGAGTTTCTTCTTTTTACTTTTAATTTCGTTTAGGTATGATTAGATACTACTAGAATTGAAATTAGTTTCGAAAAGTAAGCCCTTTTTTCAAAATAATTACCAGTTTTTTTAAGTTCATTGCTTTGCCAAAAAAGTAAGGTTATAGCCTTGGAAAAA